AGTCATATAGACAACTTTCAATAAAAGAATTTGCATAGAAGAGAAAGTGCCAGTCTGAAGGTGAATTTCGATGAGGACGGTACATAGATCATATTCTCCGAGCTTTTAGACAACAATAGACACTTCTATTGATAATTTAACAATTATTTTAATGTACTAATGCACTTTTCTTATATTACAGTTAAATTTTACCCTCGAAGTTATCACTGCGCAGGAGCATTAAAATAATTACATAAAAATGACAAAAATACTAAAATCAGAACGTTTTAATCTTACATTTATATATATATATATATATTACAATAATACTGTATTCTTTTATAGGATTGTATTGTCATCGCGTTAAGTATCTACTTTCGCCCACTGTTGATTCCGATAGTAACTAAAATGAAACTGAGTAGATAAAATAGGAGACTTTTAAGCTTCTATATACTTCTATATTCTTTGGCTAGATGTTCTATCTTTTAAATCTTCTAAAATAATATAAGATTAATATTATTACCATCTAGTGATAAGAGAAACCATCCAAATTGTTTTACGTATTTGAATATTTCCTATTTGAATCTATGATCGGTCTATAGTTTTATTTTACAACTGTCAGTACATATTACTTTAAATGCAATCATTTCTATACTATATGATTTTCTTACATTAATATAAATAATCGACACAAAAAATATAATGAGAGATCTTTGAATATAATATTATTATTGTAATATTTTTCAATTCACTCCTAATGCCAACTTTGAGATCAATTTTGAACGAGAAAGTGGGGCATTATTAAAATAATTATACACTTCATAAAATTCGAAGTCTCCCATCTGACGCATAATCGAAGCGGAACGATCTCAAAAAAAAAAGAAAAATAAAGAAAAAAAAGCATGCTATGTCCAGATGAAATGTTTTTTCTTTTTGACACCGATGCTTCTTCTTCCATCGGAGACACTGGTAGCGTATAATTAAAAGCAAACTCGGCCGGGCAAGTTGCGCGATCAATATATGCCATGCGTAGTACCTTTATTTACTCACATATACTGTGTATATTTTAATTAGATATCTATTCGATTTTCGATTTAATAATATACTTTAATAGGACGTTGTACCGGAAACTTACGTATATTTGTTCATTATTCATGCAATTAGGATTACGGTATGTTTATAAATCACGATAGTATGTATGTACACCGTTATATGAGAAAAAAAGAATTGAATTTTCGTTTCTTATTTTATTTTTTTTCTATTTCTTTCTTTTACTATTTCTCGTAAGAATCTTATAGATCAGATACTTCGAAAACATAACTACGAACTTTATAATAAGATATAACTTTTGATTTAATTTCAATTCCACGGGGACAAATCATCGTTTTATGTTTCTTAAGAATTTAGTATGTTACAACTATAAAATGTTATTTTTCAAAGAAAATGATGTTTAATCTAATATCCTCTATTTCACATAGCGTTTACTTATTAATCATCATTTTCGTATCACGAGGTCGTACCAGCATAAAACGAGCCATGTTGTAACAAAGAAAAGTTTATGATTAAAAATATGTACATTGATAATAAGTCTTCGCGGGTAATGACTATATCATAATGATTCTCTCTTAAATTTATTAACCTCGTAATAATATATAGCGGGAGATAACAAAAATCTAGAATTTAATGAATAATTATTTCTTCGTAAAAAAAAAAATTTATCACCCGATTGTTATTTATTCATGTTAAGGATTACCTTGCGAAATAACGGGGACGTTAATTTCGCATTAGAATTACACACTCCCTTTGTCGCTTTATTTTCCTTCAGTATAAAGCTACAAAAGAGAGAGAGAGAGAGAGAGAGAAAGAGAGAGAGGAAGAGAGAAAGGTTGTTAATGAAATGGCGTACCAAATATTAAAGGAATTCTAACTCTCGATGATTCTTACAAGCATCAGGTTTTCAAAAGATTCTTCTTTCTTAAAGTTTCTTGCTCTGACTAAGTTTTTTTGTTCTTTCTACTTATACTCACTTCTGTAATAATAATAATAATAATAATAATAATAATAATAGTAATAATAATATAGATGTATAGTACTTAACAAAACTTTTTCTCGTAAAATGTTTCGTCAAGATTTCTTTTCTTTCTTTAATAATGCATTTTGTTTTCACTAGCAAACGCTTGAAGAAAATCTTTCGTCTTATTTAAAGGATTATAAGGTTTGTCCAAGCGTTTTGTCGCGACGAAAAGAAACGGAAGAAATTATTCGCAAGTTAAGATAACGTCGTTCTCCGACGACGAAAGAATAAAAAAAAGATTTAACATTGTTTCCTATTATTTTTATTTTATATTCTTTCTAAGTATTATATATCTTTCAGAATAAAGAGTTAGTAACAGGATATACTGTTAGATTTCGTCATTCGATGACGATTATAAAACGCGTACTTGAATCATCTAAATAATTTCGATAACTATAATCCCTTTGATTGAGAGAATAGGATGAATTCAATGATGTGCTTCGTTGCTCGAGTCGAATTGAAAAAGTACGATATTCCAAATTTCAAAAGATACCTACCTCAATATCGATCTTAGCTTTTCTCACAAATTTAGGAAAATCTAATCAGTAGAAATAGTACGGTCGAACGAATAGTACAGCCCTTTTCGAATCGATCGGAGGTTCATCTTAATTAAAAGCCATTGTTCTCTCGGTAGGATGTCGATTTTCGAGGACGAAAACTAATCACGAGGTGATGTCCCCGCCCCACCCACTCCCCCTCATGATTTCGAACCATCTTTTTCTCTTTTCTTTGTTTTTTTTTCTTTTTTTTTTTTTTTTCAATCATTTACATCGAGAAACGTTATAAATTTATTTGGGAAGAAAACAAAATAGGAAGGAGTATTTGATAAAGTATGCAGAATTAAAGATCACGATGGCATAACGACATCCAAAAGGGAAGAAGATTCAGGAAAAGGTCGATAGTCCCTCGAGAGACACAAAGAGCTCGAATATTTGATAGAGTTGCGCGCGCCTTGTACAATGTTTTCAGCATTTTAACCGGCACGCAACTGCACGCACAGTTTCAGTTGACGACGCGCGATAGTCGGTACAAGGTGTCCTGGGTGTCCAATCATTTATACCTCCTAAATTATCAAAGACGAATGGTAATATCACAGGTGAGAGACAATTTTTTTCACCTATTTTATTTATTTTTCTTTTTTAAATTGCGATGAGAAATCTATTTCGTATCTTTGAAAACTCTTGCCCGAAATATTTTTTGTTAAACGCGAAGTTAATTATTTGTTCTCTTTTTATTTTTTGTTTTCATTATTATAAGTTTAAAAAATATCAGAGACGAACATATATTGGCAATGGCGATTATTATCCTGTTAATTTTTGTATTGGCTACGTCGAAAATAAATGATCAAACAAATTGTCGACACTCGTGTCGGCACTTGATATTTACGAGAGGACAAAGGTCTGAGCTGAGCGGCGCGTTAGGTGTATATTCTATTGCATTCTTACGTTTAATGTTATCGAACCATTCACAGTGCATCACACATTTTATCAGGACACGTACGCGAATAGAATAATTACTTGTGTGATATGTTTAAACATCCGAGAGAGGTAAAAACAATGAAAGACGCGACTGCACTTTATAATAAAACAAACAAATCGTGAAAGGTAACTTTAAATACAAATATATTATTGAAATCGTTTGTATTATTTCTCGTCATACGTTTAAATTAATGAATAATACTCTCTCTTTCTCTTTCCAAATAAAAAATTATATATACATATATATCAAGGTTTTCAATTATTATCTATCCGTACAATTGCAAAAAATCCGATTAGAAACGATTAAATTTGTTTTTTCAATATCAATTAGATGAATTTCGTTGAATAACATTGAAGCAATAATGACGTAAGAAAACAATCAAGCGTGACTACATAAAAATACCTCATAGATTTAGCCAGTAACGCTAGTGAAAGGCATAACCTGAATTTGCTATAGCTACGATAGTATGTCAAACGCTTGTACAGCAAAACATTCTAAATTCTTTTAATTTATCAAAGTTAAAAAGACTAACACAACAATAAGTTATATTTATCATAATGCACGAATTTTGTCGTTTAGAAAATATAAAAAAATCTTCAATAAAGAAACAAAAGGAAATTCCTTGCTTTGTATTAATTTGTTTTTTTTCGTAATAGAAAAGAAAATAATAAAATGAAACAGTTAGAGGGACAGTTAAGTATAAAACAAAAAGCAAAAAAGTAAGGCCAAGCCGCGCGCAGTTTTTCAAACTTTATGATTGGAAAAACGTTGTTGGTTCGGTCACCGTCACGAAACGATCAACTTTTTCCATTAGCCTGTTACACGCGGATAGAACCTAAGTGAGAAGATATAGGCTACCTAGTGTGAGGAAGAATGAAAGAGAGAGAGAGAGAGAGAGAGAGAGAGAGAGAAAGAATGAGTGAGAGAGTGAGAACGAGTGAGAATGAGTGTGAGAGATAGCTCCACCTAGACCAAAGGATAGCTCATAAGGGGATCATCCTGGAATTGCATCTCGTGCGATTAAGGTCATAGAAGCGCTTTAAACCTCCATTCGCTCCCTTATCTCGTTCGGTCCTTAACTTTAGCACTGTCGGCGAAACTTTGCGAAAGTGCACACTACCCGATGACTTATAAATAAATCGATATATATATATATAATATAGGAGACACACGTATACATATATGTATATGTATATCTATCAACGAGAAATTATCTTTCGTACTAAATTAAAAAAAAAAAGTAATAAATGTTTCATCAATTTACACGTAATTTTATAGTTTAAATATATTTTATAAATTTCTATTTTACAATTTTAGTTTTTACATATTCGCATATTGTTTCTTAATATGTTAAAAATTAGAATCAGGATAAATATTTCTCCTATATATATCAATAGTAAAAATATATTATTATTATTATATATATATATATATATATATGAGAGAGAGAGTGTGTGTGTGTATGTATATATATAAATATATTTATAGATTCCTAAGTGTCATTAGAATTTTCCTTTAAAAATCAATTATATAAAAACATAAACAATAGCGGATTAAATCGGTCCTTTGCAAGTCGCATAACCACTACGGACATATAACTTGCAATTAGATAATTATATTTATTGTGTTCACATATAAGAGGAAAATAAACGATCGCTATGTGTTCGTAATCATACATATATATATATATATATATAAAAACCAGTTTGGATTACTGCTAGATAAAAGGCACTATAGTTATTTTTATTACTTATCTTATAATGATCGCAGCGACTCGTCAATAGGCGTTTATTTACCTGTACCGCGTATGCATTGTCGAACGATGTAACATAAAATCAAAATGACTTTAAAACGAATGAGAAAAAATAAGTATTATATACGTTCGTGAGTTGAGAGAAATTATTTCCGTATAAAATATGGATGAGTACGTTGTCTTAGGTTAAAAAATTATTTTTTGTTAAAAGAATAAAATATGAGAGAAAGAGAGGATGATTTAAAAAAAATAAATCTGCAAGTATACTATGAAAGGAAACGTTAAGTTTCATTCAATTTATCCTTTTCTTCCTTATTATTAACTTGATCGAGAATAACGTCGTTAGTGTCGACAGATTGGTGAGTTCTTTTTCCAAAGCAAGTGGTAAAACACGTGTCGTGTTTACCGAAGTTCTCGCCGTCCTCGATAGTTTCCGGCATAGGTTGATTTACAGTTTCTGGTAGGTAAAGTGACAGGAAGCCAGAAGCCAAGGCTACTATACCGAACAAGGTGGCTGGTACCTTTGGGTCAAGAAAGTCTAAGAGCATGATCAACGGTGTTAGGGCACCACTGAGACGAGCGCACATTGATCCAATACCAAGGGCCGTGTTCCTCAACACCGTGGGAAATAATTCGGCTGTGTAATTGTAGATTACTGCGAAGGATGCCGCAATACATGCTTTACCGAATAATACTATAATGACCGTTGCCGTTGCTCCAATATCGTTATCCTTGGAGATAAATGCTGCACATATGCAGCAGAGGCCACCGATCAACATAAACGTGCTGACGAGACACCTTCTACCAGTACGATCCATCACGAATATCAAAAATATATATGATGGTATTTCGACGAGACCACTCAAAAATAACATCAAGTAAGGATTTCCAACGAGATTTCCAGAATTTAAAGATAATCCGTAATAAACGATCGAATTGGCGAACCAATTGAGACATACGTTCAAGGTCTTTTTACGAAGATTAGGAGTTTTCAATAAGTCAACTCCGCTATGTACTTGATCATCCTCGGATCTTTGTTTTATCTGCGATCTCACGAGTAATTTTCCGCCATTTAAGTTGACGTTATTTCCATTCATCTTTAGGGCCTTCTTAACGATCTCCACTGCCTCTTTGGTTCGGCCTTGAGCCCATAACCATCTGGGGGATTCATCCATGAGCCACCAGTGTCCTAACATTAATGCACTGTGGAGTCCGTAAATGATTTGCAGCCATGTCCGATCCTTGATTAAAGCACCCCAAGCAGCGACCAACATAAAACCGGTTGCGAAAGCTAATTGGAACATTATACCGCACATGGTCCTCTTAGATGCGCCCACAAGTTCCATTGTCAATACGAATCCAGTTATGTAAGACCCAGCTGAGCCAAAGACACCATAGAAAAATCTAACTGCGAGGAATGTGTAATACTCGTTGACGAATGCAACTATGGTACCGAGCATCAATTGCAATACCGCAGAAATGTAAAAAATAATCTTTCTTCCGTATTTATCGGCTAGACTGCCCAAGGTCACAGCTCCGACGAACACGCCGAACATATATGCCGATTGAGCAACGGCTCCCATCCACCTACGCGAACATACGAAATTCCATTCCATACCACGTGATGATTTGAAATATTCCGTGTCATATGTCCACGATTCACATTGTTTTGTTACGTTAAATTCGTCCAAGTAATTACAAGTGGTCAATGCTTTTGGTTCCATGATCATGCTGGTTACGTTACCTTCTACTAATGATTCATCGAACGTGTCAATCAGAGTTGATTTGATTACTGGTACAACACATTTGTAAGCAGGCACTGCGGCAACAGTCAATAATGTTATCATATGCAATCCCGCAGTTAATGCTCCAACGATGTGTAAAGAAAATTGCCAGAATTGATATTTCCCAAATTCTCCTAGGTGCCCCATGAGTTCCTCCAAATCATTATCGACGCTCGCCATCTTGTTGTCGATGAAATCGAAAGTATGCGAACTGAGAATCCCGTAAGAGGTGTTTCGGAACCGCTTCGTTCTACTGTCTACGTCTAACTAACCTGTTTGATAAACTCAAGACTGTCTGCTGGAGATATTTATCTTTCTTCTTTTTTTAAATACAGAAAGGATTGTTGTCCTTGTGATACACGTGTCACGTGTATCGATGATTTCTTTTCGAATATATTTTTTTCTAGAAAGAAAAAAATAAAAGTAAAAAGAATAATATTAATGGAAGATTCTAATCGTGTTTCCTCATAAAACTAATCAATTTAATATTTATTATTTTAGCTTATTGAAAATCGTATATAAATAAAGTTACTTAGTTATTGCAAATATTTCTAATTTAAAAAAAAATCGCATTATGATAATCATGTACATATATACTTATGTATATACTTATGTATATACTTATGTATATACGTACGCGAATGCGTATTGGAAATTGCGGTAAATGTAACTCAACTTACTTGATAATCCTACGATATAGAAAACGATAGTGAACGCGAGTCGGAACTTCAGACTCGTTCGTTCAATTCTGAAAAGAAAAAAATAATTCATATCAGTATGAACTCGAGTACGATTTTCTTTTCTTTTTTAATATATTTTATACAAAAAAAAAAAAAAATTAAGATTACACATGGCGAGATTAGGAAAAATATTCAACGATGCGAATATTTATTCGAAATAAAAGAATCTCGACTAAGCGATGCAAATTGATTTTCTAAGGTTTTGCATTTGTATGCGTCTGAGGAAGTCAATTACTGATACGATATCTAAAGTCTTTTGACGCACGATTCACGCAATCTTCAAGGACAATCGTTTTTGCATAGGTCAGAATAATCCATTGTGACATACGTGGAGTCAACTCGAACGTAACAATGTTGTACATTAACATATGTCCATTTGCAAGGTGTGCAAATATTCTTATCTCTTTCGATTATAGGAAAAAACTTGTGAACGATGATATTAAATGAATTGTAGTATACGGACAATTTAGAATTCTTTTACTTTTGTATACTTACATATACGAATTAAAACTTTTCCGAACTGTCGTCGTTTTCTCAACGATATACGAAAAAGAGAAAGGAACGAAGAAAAAAAATAAAAATAAAAAAAAAAGACCTTAGAACGCTCGGATAGTTTCGTTATTATTTCGTAATATTAGAAAGAATTTTTTTACACGTAATGACGGGCATTATTAATTTATTTTAAAATAGTTCGTGACACCGAATAAAATGACGTCAATGAATTATTAGAATAAATTATTCTCTGCGATAAATACTTTTCTTTTTCGAAAGTGGTCATTTTGTTTTTTGTTTCTTTCCTTTTTTTGATCGAATCACTTCGCACTATTAATTATTCATAATATTAGAATCACGAAAAAAAAATTCTTATTTTCATTCGCATAAATGTCGTGTAAAAGTCCAATTATCAAATAACCGGTTTTCTCATTTGATCTCATAGATCTATTCGGTCGATTAAACATGTTCCTTTATGCACTTAGTATTCCTGTCAAACGCGTATGCATTAGCAGTACCTAGCTCCGATGCAAGTGCCGAGTAGTAAGTCAACGGCGAGGTTTACTCCGATCCGTTACTCCGTGGAAGAACGAACGGATGTACGTTTACTGATCAACGTATTTCTCAAGAGTCTGTAGTAGCAAAACTGGCTTCAAATGTCAATGAACTTATGTAGCAAAGAGAAGTGGAAAATGTGACGTATGTTGACTCGTATGCTGACCTCTTTCTTCCTTTCTGTTATTTTTTTTTTTATCTTTTATTGTGAACAACTATGTAGTAGTTATACATAATTCTCTATTGTTCCGGCCAGTAATTGGATGTGCAATGATAATTTCGTTTGTCGATGTAAGCTCACGTACGTGTTTTTAACGTATTCGAACCCACACGCCCATGCACACACACACACACACACACACACACACACATAGATGTTATTAGATAAATATGTTAAACGAGCTGCGAAACCACTAATCGTCTTAAATAACTCGAACGGCCGGCAGCTCATCTCAATTATTAACATCTTACAAAATTCGACCTTGACATTAGATATCAACTATTGTGATCCTAAGAGACAGAGAGAGAGAGAGAGGAAACGCTCTTATCAACTTGATGATGCACGTGCCTGCCGTCAGTTTCATCAACATAAAACGTTCTGAGCAACGAAATGACTATTGACAGATAACTCGTGTGTTCGAGGGGAGGGGCGTCAGGTATACGAGTGTGTTCAGTGATTACGTTACTCAATATATTATAAGTTTAAAGAATGAGCATGTGCTGCTTAAATATCAGTTATCGTTCGATAATTTCAAATTAACTAGAACCGTCTTTTTTTTTGTTGACAAAATATTGTCAGAATTTAAGATAAAATATATATATGTACAAATATTTGATAGTTATTATAATTTTATACGCTATTGATACCCGTTATTTTGTTATCGAACAATTTATTATCGAGCATCGTGAGTTTTTGGCTAACAACAATTTCGAATTCTTTTGCCATCAAATTTGGGGTCCTCAATAAATACGAAATAAAAAAAGATCGACGATCGAGGTTAAAAACGTTGTTGTTATCGGACAAGATTTAAAAATGCAATAACATTGTCTGATATTAATGTAAAATATGTCTTGACAGCTTCAAATTTACGATTTTCTTTTTCCATAAAAGTCTTCTTGGGAACGATGCAATTATCGCATAACACACGTTGGCACACGGAAGTGTATATTTATATAAACGTATATAACGTGTAAATAAATATATATATATTTTAGCAAGTGCTCAAAGATGAACGTCGTATTGCGATACTAAGCAGTTATGCGTCCCAGTCGTACAGAAAGAGCTCGATAAAAGTGAGCAGGGAGAACGTTTAACGGTAAACGATGCAATTTCATTCGCTTGCTTGCTTGCTTGGTTGCTCATGTCAATCGATTCCACTTCTTCAAGGATTTCGATTTTAGAGTAGTGTGACTACTCTCTTCTGTCCATTAATTATTCGAATTACCTGAGATCGTTTTTTCAAAAAAAAAAAAAAGAAAAAACTTTCTCTTCTATTCATTTGCTGTTTTCTTTTCTTTTTTTAATCGAGTTCTTAGCATTGAAAGAAAGAAAGAAAGAATGAGAGAGAGAGAGAGAAAGAGAAAATGGGATAGAGGAGAGAACGTTTACAATCTAATAAAAGTTCATTGAAATTGAAACGATCGAAATCGAAGGGCCCTGAGGGAGAGAAAATTCTTTTAATCGTGGCTCGTACCGTTAACGTCGTAAAAGATTGGAAGAATATTAAGATAATGTCCCATTAACCGAATTTATCAAAGATATATATTTTTTCTCATTGCCTCGCTCCAATACTTTATTTCAATCTTCTTTGTCTTTGTCACTTAGAAACCCATTAAATAACGTTTACTCGCATAATTACGAGCATCGCGATAAAAAAGAAACTATCGCATCGATGATAATGATAATGATAATGATGATGATAATAGTTTAACTCTCGTAGTAAAGTTATATGAGATTGAAATTTGGAATTTAAAATAAAAGCATAGACATCGTGAGATATAAATTGTCAGAATAAAAATTATACAGTTTGTTAAATAGTATAATAATAGACGTGTATATATAAAAGATTAAAAAGGGAAGTTCTAAGGGAATAGTTCTTGTCTATCGGAAAAACGATTGGAAGGTGAATGAATCGGTCGGTAACGAGAGGACGCTTCTCTATTATAGTCATTGCGCGTCGTCGCCGTAGTAGGAAAGAAGGGCGGGAAATAGAAGGAATATTGGATTTTTAAAAGGGGATAGGAGGTTGGCAGAAAGGGGGGAGGGAGGGTGGGAGGACCACCTGCAGACTTGGTAACATCAAGCAGAGCCTAGTGATCCAATATGCTTAAATGGATTTCGTTCTACCTTTTAGCGTATTTGTATGCAACAGACACTCACACGGACACGTAAATGCACAGCACAGATATGCAAGTATTTAAGCAAGAAGAAGCAGAAAACTGTTGTGTGCCCGTTCGTTCCGAGCTATCCGGTTTGCCGACTGCCTGGCGCCGGAGAAACACGACCGAGGAAAAACATTTAATGCTCCTATCGAATAGCAAAGAGCTGCTCTGGGAATTACCAAGAATCGGGAAAAGGAGCTTTGGCTCCTATCATCGCGATAAAACACGAAAACCGGTTACTTTTTTTCCCTCCCCCTTTTCATTCTTTCTTTCTCTCTTTTTTTTCTTTTTTCCTACGATTTACGTATGTTTCATATTATTATCGCACAATTTTATCAAGTTCTCGCGGTACGATAATGCAGTCATGGGAGATTCATCGGAAACGGAAAGATTTTTGTTATTTTTCTTTACGATGAACAACGACTTTACTGATTCATTTATTATTATTCGGAAGTGTGATCGAATGAAAGACTTTGTTTTTTTACTTACTTATTTGGATATCTCTTAGATGTGTCGGATGAATTTGTGTTACTTGTGTGTTTTACTGTGTTGACGTTAAGACAAAGAAGAAAATGAAGATTAAGATTTTGAAAAAAGAAGAGAATACGAAGAAGGGCGAACTGTTAAAAGCTCGACATCGTTCTGCTCTCTCTCTCTCGACACTTGGTGCTTTCAAAGCTTCAGGTGATTTCGAGCACTCTGGTGAAGGAATTTAGTACTGCATGAAATAACAGGAAAGTAGCGCTTATCGCGGATAATTTACTTCACGACGTGTAACATTTCCTAATTATTCGATCGAAATTTTGGGGAATGACATTTCTTGGATTACATGTACTAGGTCAAATGGTTATCTTTGGTATATCGTACATATTTCTCAACAAACGTATCTGTGTGTGTATATATACTTATCAGTTTATTTATGATAACTATACTATTTTTTCTATTCTTTATCGCGACATCATTGTCCAGAATTTTATTTCGTATAAAACCAAATTCTTGTTTTATTATTTGAAAATAATTATTTTTCAATTAAGAGATAATGTATGAATGAGATAAATTCAATTATAATAAAGGTAAAAAGAAAAGAAGGTGCCTTGAAACATGGTAAATATTATATATTTGATTTTCTTCATGTTCTTTTTGATTACATGTATAAAAGTAAAAGAAAATAAACTAATTTGTTAAATAATAATTCAGTGATTCAGTGTAGATAGTCACGTAGTCAAAGTTAAATAGCTTCTTGGTAAAGATCGAGTTTATTAAAATTAAAAATTTATATACACCGAGGTAGACAAGTTGGTTTGCATAATATGCAAATTATTTTTGAGCGCAAAATTACTGAAGAACAATGAAGCAGAAATAATTGAGGAAGTATATAGGACATTGTAGATTTAAATTGAAGGAATATTTCGAAGGTCCCCGTATAACATCGAAACAAATCTAAATTATCTCGAACGACTCGTTATGCTATACGCTTTTGGTCTGAAAGTACCGTGCGAATGCATTAATTACTGCATATACCGGTTACTGCACGCAATCCACGTTGAAACGGTATTACATTGATTTTTATCTTTGCTTATCATATTAAAAGTGGAGATTATAAAAAAAAAAAAAAAAAGAAAAAATACTTCTCACCTAACGGAATATAAAACCGTTCTAAATATATTATCTTATCTCTTTGAATGCTGTAATCGTGTTGCATCGTTATAAATGTATATCATTAAACTACGTTGTGGGACGAGAAACAAGAATCCAAGAATCCAAAAGAAAATTGAAAAGATCGTTAACGTTGGGGGGAATTCCTGAAACATGCTTGTCCTTTAAAACGATTAGGATACGTCGGCTCGTATAAGAGAAGATCGAGTTATTCGTTCGAGGGACAAGTTGACACAGAAGGTACATCACTCGTCATCCAATTATACGATTTAGTTTAAGAGCATATATACGAGGCGCAAGGAGGAAGTCAGCGTGCGTGTGCCAAGTGGATAATGATACGTGCTAGTAGCAAATACAAGCCCGAGTTTACCGTTTGTCTGGCGGCAAACTAATACCTATAGAGATAATTGACTTTTCTTATTATAATTTCTTTTAAGTCGCGAAGTTTATATATAAAAGAAAATTATTATCTCTGTCCCTTGGAAACATTTTTAAAAGGTTTTACTTGTTTTTTCTTTTCCTAAAGAATAGTATTTACTGGATACATGTGAACGCGTACATATATTATGAAAGATAGATCTAATTTGTTTCCCCTCTAATACGCACGAACTATTGGTAGAGGCAATGAATGGTGGTGGTAGTGGTGGTGGTGTTTCGTGTTCAGTAAGGGTACACCACAATGATGGAATTTGATCCAATCGTAACGTAGACGGGGAACAACACGTCCGCGTTCCTTTCGGCATCGGATTACGTGCGACGAGGATTTTCGAGTAGCCCCTATAAAGATCTCGAGTGCTTCCTCAAGAAATTCGATTATCGTCTAACCTATCGAAACTATAAAAGCGATCCTTTTGCTTTAACCCCCAAACCCTCCACCCCTCGTTCGATACTCTTTTTAAGTAATTGTTTCGAAAATTCACCAAGCATAGCTTAGTCGATAGAAAAAAGGGAAGAAGAAACGAGGATAATGCTAATCTTATTTTTTAATCATTGTTAAAATTAAATTTTCGTTTATTCTCTAGCACGATATTCTTTTTCTTTCTCTTTTGGTTTTTTTAGATGTTTCACACATTTTTCTCGTATGATAAGTCGCATATCACCAATCGCTGGCTACACAACAATTGGTTAATTGAAAATGATCAAATGTCAACTCGAACGCACGCTTCTATTCCATACCCCCTTTAATCCTTACGATTAAATTATCCATTGCTTAAGAAACATTCTTGTTTTCTAAGTTTTAAACTAATGTAATCATTTATCTCGCAATCGTGTTATATTTTATCATGAATACATGACGCATTTTTTATTTTTATAACGACATTATTATTGTTATAATTAGAATAAATAATAGAAAAAGTTTTTTTTATACAAAATAAATTGAACAAAATTTCGTATTTGTAGAGAATTTTTCTCTCTCTCTCTCTTTAAAACTTCGGATATAATTTCAAAGCAGTTTCCAACTGTAAGCAATGGTACGATTTTCGTTATGATTCGGGTTTGCACATTTCAAACGTTTCTAGTTCGCATAAATTCTCTCAAATGAAAACTACGAATTTGAACGAATACGAACAAAATTCTATAGGAATTATTTTTAATGGGTGTGCTTTTTTTATTATTATTATTATTATGAGCAAATATTTAACTGACTTTTTTTTTTCATTTATACGAAACTATATATTAACTTACGTTATAATTATAAAAATGATGCAGTTCGAGTGGGAAAAAAAAGAACGATCAAGAATTAATAAGACAATATCATCGATCTTTCCGATTGTTGGAGTAATGACTCAACGTGCGAAATGATTCTTCGTCTGATGACACAGGTATCATTAATTATAACTCGTTTGGTGATTCATTCCTTCGCGTCTGTAGAATATTTTCTCCAGAAAAGAGGAAACAAAATTGTCCTTGTGGCATTCAGATGCTTTTGTTCACCGCATATATGCAATGGTTTTATAATGAAATAGCGCCAGACCAGGATGAATAATCGAATTTAACTATGACAATAGCAAGTTATGAAACAATAATGTATCAAACGAATATTAAATTCATTATTCATATATATAATCGATAATATAAATGAAGATACGAAAATGATAGGTTCACTTTAAGAGCGTTCATCACCGTTCACTTGAATTATATGTGACTTCGGGGCAAAAGATGCGGAAAAAAAAAAGAAAAAAAAGAATGAAAAATATGTTAGGGGAAAGTTATATCTTTGGTCGATTTATCGTATCGATGTAGATATATACACATTTACTTGGCTTGATATATGCCATGCCCTATACATTTGTGCAAGTTAAACGATGAAATAAACTGACATCATAAAATGTATGATCGTTAACTTTTACAAAATAGCACGATTAAACATTGGTATAATAAATTCTCTTGCGTTTTGTCTGTAACAGTATAAAATATTACAATAGATCGATAAAGTTAGATGTAAAAATATAATATAACAGTTGAAACAATGCTTATAAGATAATACGTGACTCGTTGTTTATAAAAAAACAATACAATTATTGTATACATTAGAGATACGTATATAATTTTGTTTATTAATAGAAAAATATCTTCGAAACAATCATTGTTGATGTTCTCGTCGTACTGGATTGACGTTACTTGCATTAATCCTCTGTCGAAGAGTTGTAATTTAATTAATCGTGAGAAGAAAAAAATATCTTGTAATTTTACACATTGTTCGTTACCGATTCATCTTAAATCTAGATATAAATTTATAAGTGAATAATAATCCTCTCTGTAACAGCGTTGAAATGCAATTAATTTGTTTCCTTTTCTTTTCTGTAATTATCATAAAATAAGGTTCAAGGATTCGAATTATACGATGCTTTTAACGAAGCTAAGCAAATATTATCGATTTATATTATTATCGATATTATTTTATTTAAAGTCGAGTATTTGAATATGAAAATGCAAATCAACTAAAAATTTCTCTAATAATCTCTTATCTTTAATTAATTAAAAAAAAAAAACAAAAAAAGAGAGAAAACGATATATATGTTATTACTTCGTACGTTTCAAAAAATATGAATCGGTTTCGTTTGCAGATTGAATGGAAAAATTGCGAAAGAAAGAAAGAAAGAAAGAAAGAAAACGTAAGATATAATATATGTTAGAGAGGATCATATCCTTGGAAATAAAGAATATTTATAATAAAGATCACATATGTGGAATATATCGAATCCTACAGGAAATCGATTGTAGGGCTTCTTACGGTTATCCGGAAGATGGTATGCAGGTGGGAAGGAAGGATGTTAGGAAGGAACGGAAAACGATACCACCGAGATGGGCAAGCAGGAAACTTTGATGGCAAGGAGAGTACGGAGGAAGAAGTATGAAGCCGGATTACGGCTCCCGTCCTTGGCAGTTGCGCGCGGAACTTCGAGCTGAACGGAGGTGTGTTTTTCGCGACTGATCCTGATTATATTTTTCACGATTTTCAAAGAAGAAATTAATTCTTACCACCCTTCTCGGAAGAAAAACAAATTCGTTTACTCCCCCACATACTCCCTCATACCCCCCCGAAGGCACCTCTTCTTTTGCGGATAAAGGAAGTGAGTTTCTTTTTTTTTTTTTATCACGAAATTTTGTTTCTTTTTTTCTCTTTTTCATTTCCTTTTTTTCTTTGCGAAACTAACATCGAAATATCATTAAAATAATTTGTCTCGAACGTATCATCTATCGATCCTCGTAGAGAGGAAAATCAAGTGATTTTATCAATTAAAAATTAATCAATAACGATATTAACATTTAATTATCAGAGAGAGAAAGAGAGAGAGAGAGAGAGAGAGAGAGAGAGAGAGAGAGACAGAGAGAGAATTGAAACGATAAGCCGATAAGGAGCAGCAGTGATTATTTTCCAAGTGAAATAATAATAATAATTGGTCGGCACTGTGTTTGATCGAACAGTCAATGAATTATTTCGTTCGTTCTCTTGTGTATTTATTATTAACATCTGCTATTGGTTTGTCTCGTCGAAATACGTAAATCTTCGATCTTATCTTCTGTTATTGACATAAACGGCAACTTGAAATGTCTTAAGATAATATAAAAACATAAACAGAAACAAAGAGAAGGGGGAGGAGGAGTAGGAGTAGGAGTAGGAGTAGGAGTAGCAGGAGGAGGAGGAGGTAAAGGAAAATGTTACGAAGAAAAAGAAAGAGAGAGAGAGAGAGAGAGAGAAAGAGAATAATATAATAATAATAAAGAAATATTATGATATAGAATCATTAGAACGCGTTTTGATACATTGAGTGTCTTTTTAAAATAATTCGTTTCCTTTTAAAAGAGAAAAAATTATATACGCGTCAGCAATGATCTCACTATTTCGTTGGCTTTTTCTGTTAGTTAGTAACCGCATATTCTTGGAAAAATATGAAACGTTTATCGTACTGTTTAGCAATAAAATTGTGAACGGGTATATATATAAATCGCAATTTCTTGATTACTTCCTTACAGATGGAGAGCTTACAATATCTAATCTCTTCTTGTTGCACTTAATATTATTTAATGCGCTCCTCATTCTACTGATTGTTGTTAATCAAAGAAAAACATGTTTTATCTGGCCGTCGAGAGAAAATGTTTCTATATTTCATTGATAAAAAAAGCAAAGCAAGAAAGGTACGCGACAACGAGTTGAAGTGCTTTAAAACAACCCAACCATCGTTCTCCCCTTTCTCTCTCTCTCTCTCTCTCTCTCTCTGTCTCTTTCTCTCTCTCTCTCTGTCTCTTTCTCTCTCTCATATGCAATCCTTGTTTAGTCGCTTGTAGTAATTTAATTACGTAGTGTAAATCTCTGGCCGGAAGGGACGTTGAAGTTAACGTTAAATTCTCTCTAACCAACACAACGTGAGCTTCTCATTCCAAATATTTAACATAACAATTAATTTACCAAAAATAAAGATTTAAAGGGATTTCGTTTTAAAATTGTACGAAATTGTATGACAATTTCACCTTGTATCCTTGTGACTTTCCAAGGAACAAGTTTGTTTCTTTTTTTCTTTTCTCTTTTATTTTCTTTTATTGTCTCTTCTTTTCTTTTCTTTTTTTTTATCGAAAAAATTTTTTAAGGCTTCGCAGTCAAGCGGAAAATTTTGCCGAGAGATAAAATGTGTTTTCCTTTTGACTTGTGATGTAAGGTATCGCGTGCGTAAGCTAGTACATACAGATATATATAGATATATTTAAGCTTATATTTCTCGAAGGACAAAATATTGTAAAGGGATCATTAGCGACGAGGATGTTGAACCGATAAAATAATATTTGTATTATTTCGATGAAAAGTTCGTAAGGATTGCAAGTAACTAAATAAATTCAAGAGATCGATTGCACCTTCAACTGAGTAATCAACACATACTTATCGATTACTCTCACGTCCGAGTTCAGTAAATCTCTGACGAATGAAAGCGACGAAGTACGGTGCAAGAATCCTCGTTTTCCTTATGTTTCTTATCCTTGACACGTTCTACGTGGTACGTGAAATTACTTATAATGATTGCTTACCTTAACCTCATTTAGACGATGATCCAAAAAACATAGTATTATCATAAAATCTTAAAGAGTACTGGTAAGCTATTGTTATCTTTAGGTCTTATGAAAAAGAAAAAAATCCATTACATCGTATTAATTGCGAATTAAGGATCGTCGTTTTCTCGTAGCATTCGTAAAGTTTCGCATCATTAACGAGTTAGGTCGAGTATTAAATAAAATGCTAAATTAGTTTTGAATTTCAAATGCTCTCAACGTATACATTTTTTTATGACTTTATATCAAATAATAAAAATAATAATATAATTGTGTAAAGTTTAAAGATAAGAAATAATATAAATTGTCGTTCTCTCGTTTCTAGGTGCACACATGATATGACTCAATCTCATGAGGTTCTGGCAATGATGGATGCACACACAACAACATTCGGACGAACGAAAGGATGCACGATTTCTCGTTGCGGTGCATTCTTCGTTTGTACAGTATTTCTTATTTCTTTGGTGGTAACCGGACTATTGGTTTATCATTATGCACCCTGCCTCGAAGAAAAACAAACAAAAACGTGCGAAGAAGCGAAGGATCCGTTTGGCGAATCATCAGCTAGGTCATTTGCCGGTGATACGACGAACAAAAAGAAAATCGACGTCAGATTACCGAAATCGGTTATACCGGAATCATACGAGTTACGACTCGTACCTTTCATATGGGAAGGAAACTTCACTTTCAACGGTGAGGTACGTGTTCTGTTGATACTTAAACTACATTTACATATCAAAAGGGAAGACGAATAAGACAATTATCTAATAGTCTAAAGAGAAAACGTTAGAAAGGCTTTATTATTCCAACTACTGATGTCGATGCGAATGGAAATTATTATGTCTCTGTCTTTTTCTCTCTCTTTCTTTCTCTCTTTCGCATCCCATCGAGATTACAAATCGATTTCGAACGTGCCAAATACTTGGGAACAAATTTCACTTCGCTTAAAATCCGACGTACTTTTTGACCGATCAATTTTTGAAAGTTCCAACGTTTTACGAATTTGTTCACGAAAATGTCGTACTTTTATTTTGTCACAAATGAAGCTAAATTCATTGATATATATACCTCAATTCGCAAATTCAATTTCAACGGGCAATTGAATTTTCGCTTTCCCATTTGGTTTCGAGCATTTCCTTCTCTCCTTCGGTTTCTTTTTTTGTGTGTTAACGTCTCTCATTTTTCATTCTCTCATTCTCTTTCTCTAAAGTTTAAAACGAAAACGTATAAGATACTATAACTCCCGTAGTCCAGAGGTGAAAGTACCTGTTCGAAACTACCAGCTGGCCGATCACAATTAGAAAGTAAGGAATGCCGCTTCATTTCTCATTGAACAGTTGCAACGGTAAACAACGAGAAAAGAGAAGTGTCATTGATCGTTAGAAAGGCCGATGTTGTTTCTATCTTTTCTTTTAAATCCTTTTAGATCCTTTTCCAGTATATTCGATCGATTTTTTTATTGATTATATTAAAGACAACGAGAATGGGAATGAGAGAAATAGAAAGTCTTTTATTTTGTAAGATCATGCTATAACATTTTCCTTGGGCAAGTTTAAATTTAAAAAATTATTCTTATTATTGATAGATTTTTTTAAAACGAGGAAAAAAAAGATTTCGTCGATTGTAAAAAAGTAAGGGCAATATTTAAATTTATTTCGTTACGGTGACAAAAATTCGTTTACAATTTTCAGGTAACTATTTTAGTAAACGTAACAGAAAATACGAACAATGTTACGCTTCATGCTACCGACATGAAAATCGACGAATCCCTTACAAGTATAAGGGAATTCTCTCAGTCCGGTAATAAAACAAAACCGATTACAATCGTCGAGCAGAAAAACGACACAGAAAGGCAATTCCATGTGATTAAAACGTCGGACACGTTGAAGGAGGGTAAGCAATACGTGGTGCATCTCAAGTTCGTTGGTCATCTTAACGATTACCTTCAAGGTTTCTACAGAAGCTCCTACACCGTCGGCAATCAAACGAGGTAACTTATACCTATAACAATAATAATTCCATTTTTTATCGCAAACGAGTTTAAACGTTTTTCTTTTTTAATTTTTGTTCATTTTGTTTCCGATTAAAAAGGCCATTAAAATGCGATCAATTCGGATAATCGTTAATATGCTAAATAGTTAATGTATTATGTATATCGAATGCATCGATACGATTCGTTAAGATAAGAACCCATTCTTATTAAAATTCTCTTCCAATAGATCGAATTAATATTATCTCGTTCTATTTATACGATAGTTAAATATCAACGAAGATTAAACCTTTGAATATAAATGTTGGTAGGAAAACGATTAAAATAAAATTCGATTTTAAATAGATGCGAAATAATATTCGATGTTACTTGAGTCCAATATTTGATCTAAAGTTTCATTGATTTCACATTCGAAATATAAATATGATTATATATTTCATACTTTCTCTTATCGAAAGTAATGGAAGAGTTGTGCGAAGAGGACACGACGACGTCAGGTTCATTCAACTTATTCCTACTCGAAATGATCTCGTGAAAAATTAGTCGTCTTTTGAATCGACTATAGTGCAATATTATCTAGCTTTAGAATTCTCTTCTTCAAAAGAAAAAAGGGGGAAAAAAACAGATCGTTTCGTTTCTATTAAAAGAGTTTTAGCCTGAAGGTAATAAGAAGAAGATTGCGTTTATCAGTGAAACTTTAAGAACCGTCGTCTTCCTTCAGATGAATGTTTACCGAAGGTTTCGCGATCCTTGAATTATAGATGGATTGCCACGACTCAGTTTCAAGCAACGGACGCTCGTCGTGCCTTTCCTTGCTTCGATGAGCCAGCCATGAAAGCTAAATTCCAGATTAGCATAGGTCGGCCCAGAAATATGACATCCATTTCGAATATGCCGAGAAAAGGACAACCCGAGCCAATGTAAGATATTTATTTATGACATTTACATATTTTGGGAATTATTTAATAATTTATAAATATGTAAGAGAGAGAGAGAGAAAATCACGGATGATTTTGTTACTTATTATTATTATTATTATTATTATTATTATTATTATTATTATTATTATTATTATCATCATCATCGATAGGCCTAATCTACCCACGTACGAATGGGATCATTACGAGCAATCCGTACCAATGTCTACTTACTTGGTAGCTTTCATAGTTTCCGACTTCGAAATGCTAAAATCGGAATCTAGAAACTTCAGAGTTTGGGCACGCAAAGAAGCAATTAACCAATCTCACTACAGCTTGGATATCGGCCCGAAGATACTCGAATATTACGAGGATTATTTTAAAATAAAGTTTCCCCTACCGAAAATGGATATGGTTGCGTTACCTGATTTTTCGGCTGGTGCTATGGAGAACTGGGGATTGATCACTTACAGGTAACTCGCGTAAAAGTTTTTGTTTGTTTGTTTTTTTCTTTCCAAACTATCGGTAATTTAATAATCTTTTTATATATAATTTTTGTCTAATCGATGAAAATAATTTCCACGATATGGAATATCATTTGGATAAATATGATTACAGAGAAACGGCTATGTTGTATCAAGAACGAGTGTCAACCAGTAGCAATTTGCAAAGAGTAGCTACAGTGGTAGCTCATGAATTGGCTCATCAATGGTTTGGAAATTTGGTGACACCAAGTTGGTGGTCGGATTTGTGGCTGAACGAAGGTTTCGCCAGTTACGTGGAATACATCGGAATGAACGCGGTCAGTTGTCAAAGTGAATAAATTGTTTCTGTTTTTTTTTTCTTCTTTTTTCTTGTCACTTTATTTTTACAAAAGAAAATATTGATACGATATTTTAGGTAGAACCGTCGTGGAAGGTTTTGGAACAATTTGTGGTTAACGATGTGCAATCGGTCTTTGGATTAGATGCTTTACAATCATCGCACCCTATATCGATAGAGGTTGGACATCCCGATGAGATTAGTGAAATTTTCGATAGAATTTCTTACGAAAAAGGTGTGCACGAGACGATTGAAATATATCATTAAAAGATTTCAATCGCGATTACATTAATCGTCACGTTTTACAGGTGCTTCTATCCTAAGGATGATGGATCATTTTCTAACGACGGATGTTTTCAAACGAGGACTCACAAATTATTTGACAGAAAAGTAAATAATTATCCAGTCAAAGTTATATTTAAAATGAAAATAAAACTAATATTTTTTCTTATATATCTTTTCTATAGAGCATACCAAAGTGCCGAACAAAACGATTTATGGAACGCGCTTACGAAACAAGCGCATAAAGATAAGGTCTTGGATCCCTCTATTACGGTCCAACAAATTATGGATACGTGGACCCTTCAAACTGGTTTCCCTGTTGTTACCGTAACACGAAATTATCTTAATGGTGCTGCCACTCTAACTCAGGTTGGTTTATTTATCTATCTGCAATCTGTAAGAGTTTCCGTTAACATTGTATCCCTTTAGGAACGTTTCATGCTCCAAAATAGTTCTATGATTACTATGATTGGGCCCGAACCACTTTGGTGGATTCCTATTACGTACACGAACGAACAAGAATTAAATTTCAATCGGACTCAGCCTAACTATTGGATGAAAGCAGAACCTTTGGTTAATTTGCCGAGTTTAAATGCTACCGCACATCAATGGGTTATTTTCAACGTCCTTGAAACTGGTACTTTCATATATATTTCTTTTTCTGATATTCTTAATTCTTTTTATAATTCAAAATAAACGAATTTAACAGGTTACTATCGAGTCAATTACGATAGAGGTAACTGGCAATTAATTATAAAACAGTTAAACAAGGATAACTTCAGGGACATATCGACGATCAATAGAGCTCAGTTGATCGATGATGCTCTTAATTTGGCCAGAGCAGGTAGACTAGATTACTCGATCGCTTTAGACGTCACATCTTATTTGGCACACGAAACCGAATATTTGCCATGGAAATCTGCTCTAACTGCATTGAATTATTTAGACGATATGTTAATAATGCTACCTGGTTACGATAAATTTAGGGTACGGGAAAACATTAGTAAATTTTCATTCGAAATTTGTTGACATTTTTATTATCGAACATATCTCTTTAACGATGTGATTTATTCTTTAAGATTTACACTTTGAAGCTCTTGGATAATGTGTACAAGCAAGTTGGGTTTTCGGACAAGCCTGGGGATCCACAATTAACAGTATTTACAAGAATCGACGTTCTTAATTGGGCATGTACTTTTGGCCACGAAGATTGCGTTGGTAATGCAGCTAATCAATTCTACAATTGGCGAAAAACGCCAGATCCTGATACGAATAATCCGTAAGTAACAAATTCGTTTTCTTATTTTTATTTAAAATAAAAAAAAAGGGAATAAAATGATCGTTTTTGAATTAAGAATTTCACCAAACCTGAAGAGTGTGGTCTACTGTACCGCTATTCGGGCGGGTAGTCAAGTCGAGTGGGACTTTGCTTGGCAAAGATACTTAAATACCAATGTGGGCTCGGAGAAGGACTTGCTTTTACAGGCGCTTGGTTGTAGTCGAGAAGTTTGGATCTTAAGTAGATACTTAGATTGGGCAGTTACTGAGAACTCTGGTATCAGAAAGCAAGACGCGACGAGAGTCTTCGGATCCGTCGCTAGAAACGTTATCGGTCATCCTTTGGCATTCAATTATCTCAGGAACAAATGGAGTCGTCTACTAGAATAGTACGTTTTGGAAATTTGATCATTTCTTTTATTTTTTTAGGTCTATAGGATCGTTCATTTATGTCTCTCAATCTTTTTTTTAGTTTCGGTACTTCATTACTTTTGATGAACAATATCATTAAATCAGCGACCAGGGGTATCAACACTAAGTATGAACTCAAGGATGTAAGTTTTTTAACATTCTAATTGTTTATTTTAACATTTCTTTTGCGATAGTAAATAATATTATATTTCATTTCGTATACAGTTATACGATTTCATAGCGGAGAACAAAAACGAACTTGGTAGTGCAACTAGAACCGTCAAGCAAGCTGTAGAGCAGGCTGAAGCGAATATACGATGGTTAGACAATAATTACGCGACTATTCGCGATTGGTTGCTAAGAAACACGGCGTAATCCGAATCAAATGATTACTATAGGTATATCTTGATCATTGTTCAATCCCGCGTTTAAAATAGCGGATTCTCGTGGTACGCCATTTAATCTTAAAAGTCGTAATACGTTTTAAACATCTTTGCAACTAGCATCTCTTTTACTCTGGTTAAGCATATGTTAATAAAGAAAGAAAATTTGTGCCGAACTTAATGTTTAAATAAGTTCGCAAGAGAGTATAATATTTAAGCGTTTTTATATGTATCTGTAAATATGTGCGCGACATTAATATGTGTATTATACGAATAATATTTAGAATATACGTCAATGATATGAAAGAGGCTGATGATTTATGGATAATCGTGAATAATATAATGTGAAATAAATAATAAAACAATGAGTGATTGTTGAGAAAACAAATATGGTATATAACATTAGTCAAGAGTATATTTTCCTTCGTCACTCTATAAATCCTTTCGATACAATTTTTATATATATCTTTATTTTTACGAAGGTATAGATCATTTTATGGACAAACTCGTTGAAGGAAAAAAGTTCAAAAGATTTATTTGGATAAGAACGTATGATTTCTTAATTACGAATAAATTTTTTTTATTGTTATTATCATTAAAAATAATTTAAAAAAGAATAATGTGCGTGACGCACAGAAGTAAAAAGAAAATTCAAGTTGCGCGCGCACAACTGACATGCGCAGATCTTACTTTTGTTTCTCGCGTTCTTTTGTTTTTGTGGTTATGTCGAGTTTGTTTCAATCTCACGTGCTTGCAACACGTTCAAGTAAGAGTAAGAAATAAAATCTGTGTTCATCGAAGCTAATCGAATGATCTCTTTTATTTTTATAGTCAATGCTGTTACTCAACTATCTTTTTTCAACAATTAGAAATATTCTGTAAAGTGGGTTGATCTATTAAAACAAATATTAACACAACAGGTACTCATATATTTATTTTGTGTGGTACATCTACACACATATATATATATAACAATATCCAACAAGTTAAATTTAAAATTGTCGCTGTTAGAAGTTTAATTTAATTATTTTTTTAACATTATTTGTGTGTCATATGTTATTTTTTAAAATTTCGTACAATAATATTTCGGTATTAAACAAAATCATTTCTACTTGAATAAAAGAAGTGATATTAAAGATACAATGGTAAGAAAAACGATATTTAAATTTGAAGTTCCTGAATTGCCTTTTGAATGTTCCTCGTGTTCCATCCGAATAAATATATCTTCCAATATCGATTGTATTTGTGATGGCAATTGCTGATTTGTAAATATCATTTTCTCTGCAATTTGTGTAGCTTCTAACAATTCATCTGAGATTGGTGCAAGATTTTCCTCATTATTTTGCATAAAAAACTTAAACTGAAATAAAGAAAAATTGAATTTTAAAATCGTTGCGTAAATAAAATAATATAACACAATGAAATAAATATACATGTGTATAAATAAAATACCTTATCAAGTGTTTGTGTATCTGGAATGCGTATTACAATTTCATAGAATAATGCGCTAACGTCGTTCCAATTGTCCAATCTAAAACAATACAAAAGAAATATGTTTGATGTTATACAATGGTGAATTATAATATAATAATCGATCGATCACTTACAAATTATAAATCTCCATATAATGATTAATTAAATATTCATAACATTTTTTCCATCCTATATCGCTAGATTTGTATATGGATGCGAAGGCTCTTGGAATATCTTCTTTTCGTATAAATTCTAACGCATTTTCATTGAAGATGTACTGAAGGTATCTATCAGGTATAAATAAAAACGATATTATAAAAAGTCTTTTACTGATAATATAATATTATTAATTCGAGAATCGTAAAGTGATATAATTAAACTTACTGATTTAGGGTTGTATCATTTTCTGAACATCCTAAAGCATCTAAGTAAAGAATTTGTTCCGAATGTAATGTAGTTTCTGTATAGGCTAACCATAGTTTTAACCAATCATAAGGACTGCTATATTTTATGCCCGTACAAAGGATTGCAGGTTTGGCATTCCGAGGAATTCTGCAAATATATATATTACTTATATATGTTAAAACATTATTTTATCTATTATAGAAATTTTTCTTTTAAAAATATTAGAGAAATGAAAAAGAATTATAAAAAATTATCATACGTACGTTGTAAATAGCTCAGTACTCTTGAATATTTTTGTCGACACGTCGATACAAGTTTTACCACCAAATTTGCAATTTAGGGAAAGTATTAACTCTCTGTTTAATTGATTTTCTTTACTACGTTTTTGCCATGTATCTGAATCATCATAAGTGTCATTAAATCCAAGCCTTGCTACGTGCTCATCCGTTAAATATAACACATATTTCTGAAGAGCATCGATTTTTCCAGAATGTCTTACATGTTCCCAGAGATAGTTAATACCCCGTCCGAATGCCTTCCAAGGTAAATGTTCACTTTCTCGACGTAAATAAAGTGCCAATTTGAGAACCTTAGAATAAGTATTACTAGCGCGAGCCAAATTGAATGCATCATCAATAATTTGCGCACGATTTATCACGTGAATGATAGGATACTTGATACTATTTAAGATATTTATTAATCTTGTCATTAACGTATTATCATAATTCACCCTATAATATCCAACTTGTTGAATATTAAATACAATCCACTGATCTTTCAAATCAATGTCAAATGTATCTTCAGTTGTTCTTAACCAAAATTGTGGCATGGTATTATCGAAATTTGGATCCTCCTCGGTAGCTATGGAAATAGGAATGTGGAAGTGAGAAGGTCCATCATATGTGTAATACAGGAACCGTTGCTAGAATGATAAATATATGTTTTATAATAATATTAGAAGTTACAAGATTTTTCATTCCTAAAATTCTATTTCTTTCGTATTATCAATATTAATTAGTTTTAATCATACCTGAGTAATCCTCATTTTTTTGGAATATTGATCGTAAGAGATAGATACGACGGGATATCCAGGCTTATTGACCCATTCATTCATCGATCTTACTAAAGAAACGTTGCTTGGTATATAGATATCTAACTCATTCCAAAGTTTATCTGGATTAACTGTTCCATATTTATTTTTATTGAGATATCTCATAATATTATAATAAAAATTGCTATCTCCAACGAGCATATGAATCATGCGGATAATACTAGCACCTGTTATTGTATATACAAACAATTAAGTAAATAAAAGTTAGAAAAACAAGGAATAATTTTATCTTGATGCATACCTTTTTTGTAAGAGATTTTATCGAATGGTTTTCTTAAATCTTTTGGATCCGAAACAGGATAATTTAGTGGATGAGAGTATATGAAACCATCTATACCGAAGACTTCGTGCATATCATTAACCATAAAATGATTTATAAATTCAGTCTCATCTATTGCCTGTTAGTATATATTAAGTATATAATGTTAAATATAATTAAATATCTATTTTTTAATATCGTATCAATTTAGAATAGATTATACTTTTAGAAGCAACCACTGAAAATATTGGGCAAAGCCTTCGTTCAACCAAGTATAACTCCACCACTCGCAAGTAACCAGATTTCCAAAATATTTGTGAGAAATTTCGTGTGATACTGTAGTCAATATAGAATATCTTCTTGACAAAGGTGTAATATCTTTGTCGTAGAAGAGTTGAGATTCCCTAATAAAAAAGAATCAATGAATGCAAGTGTCTTAAATAAATATGTTTTAACGCTAAATAATGAAATGTTTACCTGAAAGTAAAAAGACCCCAATTTTCCATTGCCCCTATAGGAAATTTTGGCAATCCGACAAAATCTATTTTCTCCGATTCATCCACTTGTAAGAGAATCTTGTTAATGGTTTTATAGTACTTATAAGCGGCATACTGTACTTCATCACCATACTGAATGATCTCTTCTCTTCCCCAAATATTAAATTTTTCTTTATCGTTATTAATTGGCACGAAATTGGAAACAACGAAACCCAATAAATACGTAGACATCTTTAAACTTTCCTTGTAAATATCCCATGTGTATTTCGTGCTAAATATAATATTTTATATTAAATCAATTTTCTTATCGATGGGGATAAGTTTCATCATTTTTAGAAACTTACTCGTTAGGAAATGATCTTTCAAGAGGCATATTACTTAAAGTTTTATACGATTTATCTCGCAAGATATGAATTTTAAATTTGGCCTTGAAAGCTGGCTCGTCAAAGCAGGGAAATACCATTCTGGCATAATTTGGTTGGAAGTAAGTGGCAAGATATGTGCTAGAAAATAAGAATGACATTAAAATTAAAGCCCAGATGTTTGCTACAACATTCAAAAGATTTAGTTAAAAAACAGTACAATCTGATAATTTTATACATACTGAAATTCATTATTGTTTGTGTAGTGACCACGATACAAGCCTTTCATTTCTTTATCAGAGATGTATATTTTGTAAAACTCTATTTCCACTGTTACTTTTGGTACCTCGATGTGATTAGTAAGGTAAATGATTAGCTGTTGATTTTTTGGGATTAGCTCATAACCGAGGATGTCAAAATATTTCAAATCTTTGTCAGAGGTTCCAATAGGAGTTTCGTAAACGATCACCGTAGGAGCAATTAAGAGTTCATAAGAATTAAGAACTATTTTGAAGGTTGGTTTATCGACTTGAATATCTATTTTAACGGATCCTTCGAGTAACATATTATTTCTTATGGCAATCGAGAGATTGTAATTAAGCGGATAAAGTGTTGTCGGTAAACGATTATTATTTAGAGGATAACGTTTCTCCAACCAATATGATATCTTTGGTATATTTCTTTTATACCAATTAAGTTCGTAAAGTATAAGATCGTTATATGACTGTAAAGTATTATTTAACGTTGGTACTTTTCTAATAAGAAAATCCGTCACATATTTATACTGCAATAATAATACATTGATTTATTTCCTTCTTAATTCTATTATAAATGATGATAATATATATACCTGTTCATAAAGCTCTTCTGTTGATATTCTTTCCGCGAGTCCTCCCATAATACTTTTGATTGCAGATTCATCTTCAAAACTATAATATAATTTAATTTTTTAGAAAAGTATATATAAATATATTATATATGTTTTTATAAACATATATCAACAACAACGAAATATCTTTAAAAAGAGAAATTACGTTAATATAACATACTAATTATAAATATTTTCGAACGCCATAGTCATATAATTCAGAACAGTTTTTACACCGATTTGGGAGCTCTCGTAGACGGAAGCGAAAACCCCAATGCTGTCTCCATATCGTATATCGGAGTTTCCCGATATCGCTCTATTTAATAACCTTTGAATAAAAATAAAAATCGTTTGTATTAATTGTAGAAAAAAAAAAACTATAAAAAGTTAATAGTATAATCATAATTATTTTACGTGTTTATAAGATAGGTATGTTCGGTACAACCCAATGCCTTAAGAATTACACGTTTTTCTGACGTGATAGTAGAATTTATGTATGCTTTCCAAAGGTCGTTCCACATATATGATCTTCTAGCCACTTCACAGTATATACCGGGTCGCTCATTCGGTGATATACTGAATAATTAACATAATGATTATTAATTACGATAATTATGGGATGATTATTAATATTCTCGTCGAATCTTTCTACTCACGATAATTGAGAGCAATATTTGCTTTCATATTTACAGGCCCATTTATGTAATTCCATAAATAAAAGATCAGATAACAGAGACTCTTTATTTAATGATTTTTCAATTATCGAAGTTATCAGTTTTAGGACGTGTTGCTGAAAAACGAATTGGAAATTATGAAGCTCGTAAAAATATAAAAATACGTGACACGAAAATTACCTTCAAGGATTCGAAAATTTCTTGTCCTTCGAATTTATTATGCAAGTACGTCAAGCCATTGAAAAATGCTCGCCATGGTAAATACTCATTTTCGTATTTCAAATACTCCGTAGCTGAGAAAAGTAAATCGTAATCAACGTATCCGACCCTAGCAAGATTCATGAGATCGTCAATTAACGCGGCGCGATTCACCTTGTGTATCTTTTCAAACTTTTGTTTAGTCAAAGCGTCAATGATACGCTTCCAATTAGCGATATCATAATTTACACGATAATAACCTAAAACGTAATATTTTGATAATTTTTTTTTGATTTAATAGTTGAACCTTTAAAATTTAAGCATTGAGCGTATACTTACCAGCTTGTTGGATATTGAAAATTTTCCAACCTTCACTATTGTTCGTCATTATTTTCATTTCAATCTGATTTAACCAAAATTGTGGCTTCGTGTTGTTAAAATTAGGATTTTTTTCTGACGTCCACGTGATCGGTATTTCCCAAATATTTTTAACGGATTCGCCATTTTCGTTTCTCAAGAAAAAGCGTTCTTGAGAAAGTGTCGCCAAACCATTTGAATCTATCGTAACATTGACGACAGGAAATCCAGCCTGAGTTGTCCATGAATTTAGAAATTTGCTTACACCATTCGAAGACGTTTGGTCGGGTAATTGATTAGAGATAGCTTGGTAGAGATCTTCTGGGGTCGCTACGTTGTACTTTCTAAATAATTAAAAAGTAACTTTATAAGAGATGGTAATTATATTAGAAATTTTAATATCAGTCCAATAAAAATCTACCGTTCTTCGAGATAATTCTGCAATGCAGCGTAAAAAACATCGCTGCCATAAGTCTTCTCGATCATTCTTATAACACTTCCAGCCTTGGCATAAGTAATTTTATCGAAAATATCTTCTATTTCCGTAGGAATCGAAACATCATAACTCATAGGATGACTAGATGTTAAAGCGTCTCTTTTAAATGCTGAATGAAGTTCATTTACGACGAACTGGTATTCCAATTCCCATTCTGGTTTTATCTATAAAGTATAATAATAAGGATAATATGTTTGAAAAATTTAACAATGTGATGGTAGTTGATACGTCTATGCATTTCGAATTTACATACATGAGATGTACCGAAGTATTCAAAATATGTGGCAAAGCCCTCGTTCAACCAAGCATATTTCCACCATAAAGGAGTAACTAAATTTCCGAACCACTGATGGGCAATTTCATGTGATATTATATTAGTTCCAGTTTGAATATCACGGATATTCGTTTCTTTCGAATGTAAAAGTAAATACTGTTCTCTGAATGTAAGAAGGCCCCAATTCTCCATAGCACCAAATGATAAATCTGGTAAAGCTATCATATCGAGCTTATTCAATGTGTAATTATTGTTCAATAATTCTTCATAGGTTTTTACAAGAGGTTCCATCAGAGAGAGAGAATAAGATGTTTCATTAAACGAATTAGGTCTAAACCATATCGAGTAATTTTTTTCACTTTGATGATGCACATAATTGAAATCGGAAACCACTAATGCCAATAGATATGTTGACATCAATTCTGTATCTTCAAAGCGATACAGTGTTTTATCAGTGTTTCTAAAATGTTTCAATAATATTTTAAAAATCATCCTATGAAAAAAAGTTCATATCCTAATTATTTAACAAATATTTTATGTGAAATATATACATCAACTTCTTGATCTCCCTGGGATCGGTATTACTAATAGCGTGATAACTATCCGGTATCAAAACTTCAACGGTAAAAACAGCTTTCATTGCGGGCTCGTCAAAACATGGAAACATTTTTCTGGCACCGACTGGTTCCATTTGAGTAGTGGCTAACCATCTATTTAAAAATAAAAAATTAATACACGTTGGAACAGTTATAAATATAATTGATTTAAATAATATTTAACCTTTGTTTTCCATCACTGTCTATGTAATAACTTTTGTAAAATCCTATCATTGCATTGTTCAGATTGCCCGTGTATCGGAAGATAATGCTCACTTCTGTTTTCTCATTTAACGCATTTTCGAGCTTGATCACGAAAAAGTCATAAATGCTTTCATAGCTCTCAGTAACATTGACTTCTTCGTTATTGACCAATACATTAACGCTATGTACGGTAATATTTGAAGCGTGTAGAACGATTTTATTTGTTTTCTTAACGACCGTCGCTACAATTTGAACGTTACCATTGAAAGTGAAATTGTCGGGTACGAGGAAAGGTTCCAAACTAAGTATATATTTTTCCGGAATAACATTGTTAGGTAAACGGTATTCGTTAATAATTGGATCGTCTGTAAAAAGAAAGTTGAAAAACAAAGTTTCTCATATTTAATTAAATATTTCATTAATTATCTTATAGAAGAGACATTTTACCAGACTTATGATTATTATCATTTATCCACGAGATAATACGATCAACATTATTCTTGTACCAATTCAATTCGTATTTGGCTAATTCCAGTGAGCTCATTAATGATTTAGTTATTTTAGAAAATTCTGTATGCTTTTTAATCAATCTTTCGAACTTGTTTATTAATTCATCCGTAGAAAGATATCGAGATAGACCTGAGAGTATACTCGCGATCGTATCGTAACCATCGTAACTGAAATAAAAAGATAAATAATAATTTAAATATCATATTGAATGTGCTGTGTATCATATAAATATAATTATATTTACAAAGTGTACTTACTACTTTGCCATTGCATCGTGATTTTTATCAACGAAATCGAGAACAGTATTAATTCCGATTATGCTCGAACTGTAAATTGCCGAAAATACGCTGGTACTGTCTTGCTTGCGAATTCTAAATACTTCGTAGGGTGAAATGGCATATCGGAGATACCTGAAATGCAAAGAAACGTTTAAGAGGATGATCGTAGATTGCCGAACGAACGAATAAAAATAATCTTTAATCTATATCTCACTGTTCTAAGATATCGATATTTCGGCTGCATCCAAGTGCACTTAGAACGACCACTTGTTCGGATACCACTTTGGAAGTTTTGTAATGATTCCACAAGCGTTCCCAATCGTCCAAATTACCGTGAAGTATTCCCATACAATATGCTGCCGATCGTTGATTCGGTTCGATTCGGTTCCTACGAAAGAAAAATAATTTCGTAATAATAAGGCCTATAATAATATAATAATCGTCAATAAGAGCCGATATCGATTATGATCTTACCTAGAAGTCGCGTTTATCCAATTGCGGAAGAATCCCAGTGAATTAGAAACGCATTCTTCGTGATCGAATTTGCAAGCGAGATCATTAAGTTCTCGTCGTAGTTGTACCGTTAATCGATCGTCATTTTTTCGATCTATGTAACCGAGTCCCCGATAAACATTTTCGATGAGCGATAAAACGTGATTCTAAACAAAAAAATCATTTCAAATAGATATGAGTTTCTTTGTATGTTCGTATTTAAAAATTGTCTTTCTTTTTTCTTTTTCTTTTCTTTTTTTACACTTTTTAGCAAATTGACCTTGTACAAAACGTAATTAGCTTCGTCGCCAGAAAATCGTTGAGTGAGATAATCAAGTCCTCTGAATGCAGCTTTGAATGGTAAATAATTTTTCTCTTCTCTAAGATATTGTAAACCGTCTAGTGCGATACGATAATCTAACAATCCAGCTCTAGCAAGATTTAACAGATCATCGATGATACCTGCTCGATTGTATTCGTGTATTTTTGTAAAGTTATTGCTATTTAGTGCATCAATAATTCGATACCAAGAAGCATTGTCGTAATTTACACGATAGAAGCCTGAAATCAACGAATCGATTCAATTTACATTATTACACGAGTAATATTAATGCATTTTACTTACCAGTTTGTTGTACGTTGAATATTACCCAATCCGAATCAGAAGCATCGACAGGGATAATCTCGTTTTCATTTTTCATCCAGTGCTTTACTTCGGTTGATACGAAATTTGTTTGCTTTTTCGTAGTATAAGTGATTGGTATCCACCAACTCGTATTTACAGGCGTGGATTTGAGATTTCGTAAGAGAAAACGTTTTTGTTCTAACGTTGCTTTACCTTTTTCAATGGTGACTGATAATACGGGAAATCCTGGCTCTTTTGTCCAATTGTTCATAATAGTTTCAATAATAATATCTGAAGTACCAGCGATATTTTGAAACGCTGACCACAAGTTTTCAGGTTTGACGATGCCTATGGTTTTACTATAAGAAAATTAATCGATCAAATGAATGCAATTTGAATAATTATTTTGTCCCGGACGTTATTATTTTTTGTCATTACCTTTCGCGAACATATAAGCGTAAAGCTTCATGAAATTTATTAATACCAATGAAGTGACTCATCATACGAATTACACTGGCTCCTTTGGCATATGTTATAGAATCACCAATTCCAGCAATTTGGGATCGATTATTAACTATTCTTGTCATAGATTGTGATTCTTCTATTCCATCAACACCCAAGGCAGCTTGATGTTGTTCCACTAAGAATTGTCCCTCCATACTCCAAGTGTTTTCGATCTACGATGATTTTAATAAGAAGATCAAAATGAAACAAAAAAAAAAAACGAGAAATCTATTTGACATATTTACCTTGGCTGTCCCAAAATATTGAAAATATCTGGCAAAACCTTCGCTCAACCACAAGTAACTCCACCATGATGGTGTAAGTAAATTACCGAACCACATGTGAGTGATCTCGTGTATGATAACAGAAGCTACATTTTGTTGAGCAACAACCGAACATTCTTTTTCATCGTAAAGCATTCGGGATTCTCGATACGTAATCAAACCCCAATTTTCCATAGCACCAGCCGAAAAATCAGGTATTGCAACCATGTCCATTTTTGGTAATTCATACGGTTGGTCGAACAACTTTTGTAAATAGGCCAATGCCTTTGAACCAATTTTCAAAGCATAACGAGATTGATCGAGCATGTCTGGTCTTGCCCAAACTGTCAACGTTTCTAAACTATTTCTTGCGAAATCGAATATGGCGAATGCCACAAGATACGTCGACATAGGAACGGTAGTCTTAAAATTGTCCTGATACAAATCTGACGAACTAGAATAGCATGACATATATTTTCGTTACGAATGATTTAATAGAAATTATATATTTTAAACCAAAAAAAAAAAAAAATTACGAAGAAGTTTATTTCTTACATTTCTTTGGTATTTTCCAAAGGCATATTACTAATACTAATAAATTCTTTGGATCGTGTCAAACTTATTTTGAATGTTGCTTTGTAGCCCGGTTCGTCAAAGCATGGGAAAGCATGTCTCGCGTGTGTCGTTTCGAATTGAGTTGCTGCCAACCATCTATAAACAATGTTTATTTAAAAAAAAAAAAATCTCTTACATATTTAGCTTATGATGAACAAATAATTACTTACTTAATCGTGTTGTCGTCAGTTATATAAGAACTTTTGTAAAATCCTATCATATCATTTCGAAGATAACTATCGTAGGTTAATGTTAATACTATTTTATCTCCTTTTTTAAGACTTTCTTTTAACAATATACTATATTTTTCGGTCTCCTTATCATAACTTGTATTTTCGATGTCCAATTTTTTATTTTCCGCGCTAACCGACGATGTTACATTAAATATACTTCCATAATGAAGTACAATTAAATTTGTAGGCTCATCGACTATAACATTGATTTTGACTTCGCCTCGAAACGAAAAATCTCCTATTAACTTTGGGAATAGATTAATTTCGTACGAAGTTGGGTGCATCAAATTTGGCAGTCGATAATCTTTCGAAGCGAGGTCATCATATGTTTGGGATTCATCTAAACCTATTAAAATCAAATTCTATATAGAGTGTTTCCACATTTAACATATCAAACTTTTATAAATAATGATAAAGAATATAAGCACCAATTTTCGATAAAGTACCATGATTCAAAAATGCCTTAGTCAAAAGTTATCGATCGAAACCGTCAAATAATTAAGTTCATATAAAAATTTATATTATCTTTTGCATTGTATTATATTATGATAAGATGAATATGTTTATAGCATGTTCCAAATGGCATGATAACGTTATAGACAGCTCTACCACTAACGTTCCAAGGAAAGTTCTGATAAGGTTGCAGATTGCAAGATTTCTTGCCAGGATTTTCATTAACTACAAGTATCTCGTACACCTTTTTTTCCCCCATAATCTTATAGACAAACAAATCGATAAAATTTTCCGAACCATGGTTCCGGTTATCCGAGTGTTTTTCTTCATCGTTTCGAAAAATTTGATACGTCATCACAGAAGTTTCCTATATACTTAAAGGTTTTCGTGTCTCTTTTTTATGTCATGTAAAAATTTCTTACCTTCTAAAATATCCTTCGTATATCCACTGTTTAGAATAATTGCGATGGTTGCAATAAAAAATAATGTTCGATGAATATCCATCGCGCAGATTCTTACCAATTTCACTACTAAGGAATGATACAAAATGAATAACAAAATTATCATGCATATATGCTGATATTACGAGATTAGATTTATCAGTATAATGTAAAGAAGATTTAACAATAAAAATTTTAAAAGCCATTTTTATTAGATACGTACCCTGATGGATAAAGTTCTAAATTGCATCAGAATTATCTTCATAAAACGTTACAATAGTATTATTTATTCAATTCATTTATTTTTATAATTATCCGTAATATTGTGATTCATTATTAAAAAGAGTATTAAACGCGCGTGTGTATTCGTATGTGAAAAATTAAACGTCGTTCTTACACTGCTTATGTTTCGAGTTCAATTCTCTACCAAGTAATATAATATATTTTATACTTAATCAGAAAGTATTATAATCTTCTTTGTTATCTTATCACCTACTCCAATATTAATGTTATCATTTTTTTCAATGTACTATTATCGATTTCGAGGAACGTGCAAAAATCTATACATTTGATATTAGTGTAAAACAAATTTTTATTTCTACACTTTCTATGTACGCTTATTCTTTATTTATATAATATATAGGAATGATCCAGATAACATTTTTTTAATATAAAAATTTTAATTTTTCTTAAAGATAATTAAAAACAATTTTTTCCAATCTATCTAACGATAAGACATTCAACTATCTAATACAATTGACTAATCAAAAGCGCTTTACTTTCACATTCGTCAAATAATATTTCTTTTGTTTGCAATATAATTCATTTTTAATTGATAAATAGTTTACACAAGTTTCTATCTAAGTAGATAACAAATACAAATAACACGTGTGATGTCCAACTGTATTACTATCACTTTTTTCGAACGATTTATTAATAAATATTATCAATGTAACATTTTTTGCATTCGTAAATCTTTATAAACGTGTAGTTTACGTTATCACATGCATATTTTTTGTTAATTTAATAATTTTTATCGGAAAATTATGCGACTTTTAAAAGACAATACAATGTAGAATTTTAACGTTTGGACTTTGACTTTATATCTTATCGTCCAAACGCTTTCGATAAATTTGATCCACTTATTTTACTTAAGCATCTCCGATACTTTCAATATTTTTTTGCATCCTTTGTGTACCTAGCTATCGCCAATGGGAAACATTGATCGTTTAATAAATAAAAGATAACGACAAAATATCGAAGCTAAAAAAACGGCGAGACTTTTATCATTTTATTTATTTGACACATTCGTTAAATGCAAATTCTCGAATTTTTCGTCAATACTTTTTAACGAATTTTGCATTTCCATCCACTTAAGAACTTCTGATACGTGTTTCTCAGCTTTTTTCAAATTCTTTTCTACGTCTTTTGTACTTTGCTTCAATCTGTTCTCTTTAATAAAACGTTGAACCTTATGAAACTGATCCCATGATGTAATTTCATCGATTACGGTCTCAATAATTTCATGTGAATCTTCGATTCTATAAAAATATCAAATAAAAAATGCAACATGGTAACGTAGAAATGACGTCGCGAATTTGTCAGTAAAATATCAAAATTACCTAGCATTTATTTTATCCCAATTATCTATGATAAAATCTATGGTGACGTTCACGTTTCCAACGCTAGTGTATATGAGAGAACGATAAACGTCTACTCGATCGTCCTTCAAAATCGGTGTATCATTTTTTAATGTTAAATTTAATAATTTCTTGACTAAAATTGGATCTTCTATGCCACTTAAGTTGTTTAAATTTATAAAGCTTGGATCACATTTATAAATTTGGAGAAATTTATTAAATAATACTTCGTCGGCTTCTTTCATACCGGTAACAAATAACCATGGTTTCAAATTGGTAGATATACTGAAAGAAATATAATTAATATTTTCTCTTTCTAGAGTTTAAACTATTTAAAATTACAAACAATACTTACGGATTCGAATGAGAATCCTTTAAATGTGCTATCAATTTGACATTAGCTATTTTCTTGCATTCCGAATGACCAAGCTTGCTGGCCAATTCAAGTACTTCGACTCTTTTCAATTTCGTTAAGTGATCATCGTTTGGTTTTTCATCGTAACCCACATTTCGTAATAGACCATCGATCAATCGTAAAACGTAAGGCTACGAGAGTGAAAAAATAAATTTATGATTAATTAATATTACGCGTGTATATTTGTTCGCAAAATCATGACTCGTTTAATTAATATCATTTGTACCTTAAGGAAGGCACCACTTTCAGGAAATTTAAAGTAATCTTGAAACGTGTCAAAAACTCTGAACGCTGAATACCACGGTATATAATCGGTTTCCTGCCATAGATAATTTATTATTTCCAAAAATACAATTGGATTTAAACGTTTCGTATGAACCATATAACTCGAGTCATCTATAATTTGCGCGCGATTCAATGGATGAATCTTCGTATAATTTTCTGTATTTAAATATTCAGCTATTTTTTTCCAATTATCTGTGTCGTAATTGACTCGATAATAACCTATTGTTAAAAATCGTTGTCGCGATAAATTTAACGTAGCAGAGGTACCTACAAGAGTTTATCTTGTATTTTATAGAATATTTTTTTTTTCTCGTACCAGTTTGTTGCACATTAAATACGAACCAATCGTTCGGGTTGATGTTATCGATCGTCAAACTCTCGTCTCGAGGTTTTAACCAATGCGTTGGTAAAGTTGAGGAAAAGTTAACTTCACTTTTGCTTGTATAATTAATGGGTATCCACCATTTTACATCATTTTCGTCGTCGTCGTCATCATCATCATTATAATCATCGTCGTCGTCGTCATTTTCCTCATCTTCCTCGTCATCGATATCTGATAATTTAAAACGTTCTTGCGTTACAATTATCATACCGGTATTACGATCTCGCTTAGCTGTTACTAGAGGATATCCTTTTTGCTTTAACCAAGTATCCATTATTTCTTTGATATTTATTTTCTTTAAATTCATCGTATTCTCGAATATTTTCCACAATTGATCAGGCGTAGATGTATCGTATTGGCTAAAACAATGAGACATTAATTTACAAATCGTAAATTATATTTATTTAAGAATGCATTTAAAAGTACATAACACTAACAATGTATTAAGATACTTTACTATTCCTTTATGAAAGATTATTTGAGAAAGACAATGTGAAAGCATACGTAAGATGCATGATCCTGTAACATATTTGATTATAATATAAAATACATATAAAAGGAATAAGATTATTTTATCGCATTAATTACCTTTATGACAGATAATAGCGGGAACGCCTAAATAAGGTTCTTGGCAAATGCCCTTGTATGGTTTATGTTGTACAAAAGAATAATTGTCCCCGTAAAGTGTAATTGTTTGTTGAACGACCACAACAAACATTTCCAATACTCTCCATTCTGGATATGCCTTATTAACGAATAATATATATATGCTCAAATATATAAATTTAATTTGCTTAATAAGGGAAGGATATATTATTTCGTATATCTCTGTACCTTATCAATGAAATAATATTTAAAATAATGTGCTAAAGATTCATTTAACCATAAATAATTCCACCAAGATGGTCCGACTAAATTTTCAAACCATTGGTGAACTAAATTGTGTACCACGAGTCTAGTTATCATTTCTATGTTATACGTATCCGAGGAATCTTCCACATATGCTATATCGTCTTCGCTGGTATATTTAAAAATATGATATATTTATTATTAATTAACAATGAGAGAGAGAAAAATTATTTAATTAACAGAAGTAAAGTTTAATAGAATAATGATTACTCGTAAACGATGAGGCCCCAATTTTCTGTACATCTACTCGAATGATTAGGAATTATTACGTGATCTATCTTTGGTATTAATTTAATAATACCGGTATAATCTTCAAGCTGACTTTTGGTTATTTCCGTAACTTCATGAATAAGTTTGGCTGCGTTAGGCCAATTTTGTCTACACCAAACGTTGACGGTATCATCGTAATTAGAAAATCGTTTACTATTGTTTGGTAATAAAATGAAACCTAATAAGTACGTTGACATGATCGATGTTTTTTGAAAACGCGTCCATAGATATCCTTTCTCATCGATTAAGGATTGTTCTTCGATCGGCATGTTCGATAAAGCAACGTATAATTTTGGATGTTTTATAGAAATGGTAAAAGTTGCTTTCATATCGGGCTCGTCGAAACAGGGAAAGACACGACGTGCAAAGGTCGTTTTAAAATTTGTTACGACGTATGTACTGCAAAAAAGATTTTGATTTATTTTAATAAGCAACAAGTTTCCTTGAATCAATTTCGATCGTTTTATAACGCGATACAATAACTTAAGTTTATTCGATAAGATATAAAGATAACAATAGATAAAGTTATTTCTATAATGCAAAATTTCTTACGTACGTGCAGCTACCTCGTTTTTCGTCCGTACAAAATCGTCTATTAAAACCGCGTGAATTATCTTCGAGGGTGCCGTTAAACGCGAAATGTAACTTGTAACAACCTGGTTGAACGACATTTTTAAAACGTAATATAAACAATTCTTTTTCCTTGACGTAAATTTGTTCTATCGGTCTTGTTAAATGTTCATTTTTCGTATTAGTCAGCACCGTCTTTGTTTCATTTATGACAATTTGATCGCAATGCAACGTAATATCGAAAGTTGATTTTCTAACAACGAGATCGATAGATATTTCACCGTCGAATTTTGAAAAGCTTAATATCAAGTTGATATTGTAATGCGTTGGTCGTACGCCATCCGGCAGACGATAATTAATTTTCTCCGGTTTGTATCGATCGGCTTTCCGACTATTATCATCAATTGCAAGCATCGTAGTTGACAGCTGTAAATAAGATAATGAAATTGCGTTGATGCTTTCAGAATATTTCCCAATTCAAATCCGAATAAATTTTGGTTACGATAAAAGAACGATTGGCTTCCGTTTCTCATTAATTATTTATTTCACGTTACGATCTTGTGCGATTAGATTATCATTCGATTGAACGAATTATAAATAATTATTATATGCAAGGGGATGATTTATTTTCTTGATAATTAATGATCTACGATATATTTCGTCAAATTCTAAAATATTATTGATGTTATCGCTTAAAGATCAATTAAAAATAACGTATAGTATAAAAAGAAAAATAACAATATACGCGAATTCGTATTAAATAATTTTGTAGGTAATGAAATACATCTCAAAATATCATAACACACACAGGATTAAATTAAAAAAAATATATACATACTATTACAAATATTACTTGATCTCGTGTATAATAAACTTGTTTGCAATGGCGATTTATCGCGAAAGATTAATTGTTGCTGATTGAATCGTTAAATTAATTTTAAACAAATTGTAGATAATAATATCTCGAATAACAAGTAACACACAATATAACGTTTCTATTATCATTAAATATTTATAATACTTCATTAAATAAAGATAAAAAAGAATGTGGTATAGAGCTATTTTCAGATGATCGATAATAATTGCAGCATATTTATTTTTACATAATGAGATAAAACACTTATCATTATGAGTCACCCACCTACCTTTTTTTCCTTGGGCGTTCTCACTTTTATAATACGATGCACTAGACACTTCTCTTTTCGAATAATTTATTTAATATTATAGAGCCTATTTTTAATAGAAATATAAAAAGGAAAAGCGCTAGGGGAAAGGTAGATGATGTGGAAGAAGAAAAAGAAGAAGAAGAAAAAGAAGAAAAAGAAGAAGAAGGAGAAGAAGAAGAAGAGGACTATAAAGTTAGAAAGCACACGCGATACGCGTCATCATCATAAAGTCAGTCTATTGAAATCTCGTTCGATCGCCATGACGGTATTATTATCATGAGTATTACGAAGTTTCACGAGAATTGTCGATTGCTTACGATCGTGAAATGTTTCAATCATTGCTTTGGAAAGTCTACTACCACCCCCATTCATATATTTCTCATACTTTCTTTCTCTTTCTCTCTTTCTCTCCTTTTTTTTCTTTGTTTCTTCTCGACAAAATTCGCATCGCTGTGATTCATTGATTCATCCTACTTTTTCTTTTTTCTCCGACGAATTCTGATGATACGCATATTGAATAATAACAATGTTAATACGTATTAAATACGTATTAGATACGTATATTTCGATAAATTTATTAATTAAATTTGCACTATATCATTTTTGCATTAATTGATTATAGTAGCATTGACGAGACCTAAAGCTAGCGGTATATTTTTCTCGATTTCGGCTTGAAACATCTCAAAATGACGTATCATTCCGTTCAATGGTTTTCCTTTAGATGAGAATATAGCTATCATCTGTAACAAAATATTGTAAATATGTTATAAACTTTGTTATCTTAATTACGAATAATTATCACAGAAACAGAAAGAACGAAATTGAAATTGATTTAATATCCAACCTTTTTAAGTTGTTCTCTCGTAGTTATTCGATATGAAATGAAATAAAAAATGTGGTCCATTGTATTAGTTCTGAAAAATAAAGAAAACAAAAAATCGAATTAATAAATAGTATTTAATTATTCGTTTTTGTATATGATATTATATTTGACATTACTTCGAAAATGGTTCATTCAAATTTTGATTAATAAAATCAATAAGTGTATCGATGCTAATTTTGGATCTAACCACCATTTGTTCTAATACGGTATCAATGTCATCTTTAGAAATCGGAGAATCTTCGGAAAAGGTTATAGCCAAGTAGTTTTCTAAAATTGTCCGATTGTACGAACATGAGAGATACGTTAAAAACATTTTCTCCTGATTTTTCACGTAAATATTTAGAACATTATTCCATACAGACTCGTTCGCATTTTGTAATCCGTAACAAAATATCCAATCTCGCGAATCTGGTAGTATCCTACGAAATTTACGAGACTTATCATCTATTTCTGATCAATTTGTCGTCAAATTATTGAAAATAAATATTCACATCATCGATTCCGAATTTTCAAGATACTCGACTAATTGAGCTGTTGCATTTTCTAAACATTCAGGAACATCAACACTACAAGCAATTTGTTTGAAGATCTGTTTCATTTTAATCGTCCAAGAATCATCTTCCGGATTATCTTTATAATCCATATCTTCTAATTTGTTATTAAGAAGTCGCCGTATATAAGGCTGCAATAAAAGAAACATTTCATTAATATTAGTTAAAATTTTAGTATCAGTAATTGATGTTCGAACTTGCCTTGAGAATAACGGCAATTTTGGGATCATCCTTCAAATGATTAAACTCTGAAAATATTCGATATATAAGTTTCCATACTAAGGGATCGGTTTCTCGTGATATATAATTTATTATCATTCCAAATGTAGAAGCGGATATATCTTTTTCCATTAAACTATTCTTGGCGTCGTCGATTATTTGAACACGATTTAATACATGTATATTATTGTATTCGTCGGAATTTAAATAACGTGCTATTCTCTTCCAATTCTCTTCATCGTAATGCACGCGATAATATCCTATGATAAAAATATATATAATATATATACGTATAATAAAATAAAAAAAAAAATAAAAAACACACAATTCGTTTGAATTCATATTCAAGTTTATACCAGTTTGTTGAATATTAACGATGATCCAACCATCTTTAGGAAAACCTTCAATCGTTTTTGTATTTTCCGATGGACTCAACCAATGTGTGGGTAATGTCGATGAAAAATCAGGATTAGCTTGAGTCATAAAGTTCAAAGGTATCCACCATTTGTTATTACACGTTTGATTAAGTTGTTCTTTTAATGTACTACTAAATTGTCGCACTTGTATAGTTCCAGTATCGTAATTTCGATCCACGACAATCCTGGGATATCCTGCTTGTTCCGTCCAAGTATCCATCATTGATTTTATATCGAGATTTTTGTGTTTCACATTTGACTGGTCCAAAACAATTTGCAATGATCGCCACAAATCGTCTGGTGTTACGGTCTTATATTTACTGATATAAAAATACAAAAAAGAAAAAAAAACACAACAATTTGCATTTCCTTTTTTCTACAACACCACCAATACCATAATAATTTGACTTACTTTTCATTAATATATTTGATAAGACCGGCACGAAAGATTTCATCGGTGATAGAATGCGACAACATTCGTAAAACGATTGCCGCTTAAAAAAGAACATATCAACAAAATTAATTTTATTCACATGAAAATAATATTAAATCGATCAGCGAGATCGACTTACCTTTACGATAAGTAATAAATGAATAAATGCTAGGAATATCTGAAGGACTATTAACAATTATATTCATCGGATATTGATACTGACACTCATCCCTGCTGAAAGCAATTTGCATTGTTTCCAAGACGAATTTATCCATCATTCGTTTTTCATTGAATACCTGTTCGTAGAAAGATATGATTCAATATTAAATTGTATAAAAAATAGATCAAATAAAATCGGTAATGTAATATTCACGTTATATATTACGTTACCTTATCCGTTATGTAATATTGAAAGTACGCAGCAAAACCCTCGCTCATCCACATGTATTTCCACCAGCGTGGACCAACCAGATTACCAAACCATTGGTGTGTCAATTCGTGTGCAATTAACATCACGATTCTATCCATTTCATCCACTTTAGTCTCATTTTCTTTGTATACCAATAAACTTTCTCTATAATAGACAAAACATTTAATTAAATCTAATGTTCTTGTATCTATAAATTGATATTATATTTTTCATTATTAATGATATTTCTTACTTATACGTGATAAGGCCCCAATTTTCCGTAGCACCGCTAGAATAATCAGGGACAGCAATGTGATCAATTTTGGGTACAATTATATCGTTTCCCATGTATTGCTTCAATTCGTCTTCTATCTTTGGAATGACCTCGAGCGAGAATCGTACTAACGGAATGACAGATTTCCTAGCCCAGATCGTAACATTCCTCTCGGGTAAAGAAATATGTTCGAAGTCGGTGATCACAAAGGCCAAGATATTCGTTGCCATGATCGGAGTTCGTTCGAAACGAGTCCATACTTTATCCTCGTTTTCGTCAGTGAACGATCGTTCGTAAGCTGGCATATTTGATAAAGCTGTAAAATTGGCATAATGTTTTAAAGAAATGTTGAATGTTGCTTTAAACGATGGCTCGTCCCAACAGGGAAAAGTACGACGCGCGCTGATTGGTTGAAAGTGAGTTACCGCAAGCCACCTGATTGACATTATGTTATTTCATTTTTCTTTTCTTTTTTTTTTTTCTTCTTTTCGTAATACTAGTAGATTCAACTTACGTTCTATCACCGTTCTCGTTGGGATAAGAATGTCGATAAAAGCCACGTAAATCTAACGAAAATACACTTGAAAATTCCAAATGTAAATTGTAACTTGTTAATTTGATGATATTGTCAAAAACGAGTATTAACATTTCCCTATGCAAATCGTAACGATGTTCCTTAGGTGAATACGATTCACCGTTGTTGTCATTTTTCAAATAACTTTGCGTTTCGTTTATATCAACATTCTTCCAATTTAATTCTATTAATTTCGTTGGTTTTCGAACGTCGATTTTAATGTCTACCACACCGGTACAATTAGAATCAGGCATCACTATATCAGATTCCAATTTCAAATCGTAATGCATCGGTATAATGTTTGTCGATAATCGATAAACAGTCGTATCGCTTTCGTTCCCAACATTTTTGTCGTTTGCCGATTGAAGAGAAAACGCTTCGATGGTAACAAGTACGAAAAATAACTTTATTAATTTTCTTAACATGCTATTCGATCGTTTATTTTTTTTTTTTAAATTCCGATCTTAATTTTGATTAATTAAATTAATTACTTAATTTACGAAAGACTGTGTTCGATCGTCTAGCCCACGAACAAGACACTGTGTCTAATCAGTTAGAGAATAACGCATATTATGAAAGAGTATCGTTATGTATATTATGAAGAGTATATTATAGTGAAATACTTTTTTAAAAGGAGAGGTGTTAGTTCTTATGCATAAGAGAGCATTTATAGTTAAATGCATTATTTACGCATATGACCTATGTGACCTGTATGACGCATGTGACCATTGTTGTACCTGTATTGTGTGAACACGTAAACGCATCATAAATAGAGGAAAGGAATTATACGATATTTTATAATTGTATAATCGAACTAAAAGAATATTGAAAATTTACAATTTTTCTAACTGCTATAATTAAAAATCTTGCAATGTGACATTTCAATTGAAATCTTTGTTTTAACAATTAAGAATAATAATTCAATTTGAAAGTGATTATATATTTGATATATGAGCCGCTTATTTTGAAAGTGGCCTAACTCCATTTACCTTCAAATCGAAATATTTAAAGTTTTGCGTTTCAATGAATTTAAAAATATACGTACAGAATACCAATGAGTTATACTGCTTAAGCATATCTGAAGGTGTTAAATTTACAGTTCCTATTAAAATAATGGCAATTCTTAAGTGAATAATATGCGTTTTCTTACCAAGAATGGAGTTAGGCCACTTTCAAAATTAACAACCAGATTCGTTATAAAATTTGAAGGAACCGAAGTCCATTAAACATAATTTAAGATGTTTCCAATTGAAAAAAACAATACTCATTTTATTTTACATATCTTTATAACACTTTAAAAACATAAATTATGCGATTCAAAATATTTTTTACAAACATAAATTACAAAACAATTTTCTACTCATCTACATTTTTTGTATGTAAAAGGGATTTAAAGAAATCGTGATGTTCCGGTCATATATATCGTAATAAGTCAATTATGTCCTTGAAATTTGCGGTTGTAATTTGTCTGATATTTTTATACAGTGATGTCAATACAACATTTTCGAACTTTCTTGGTCTACCCCGAAGTGGTAATAAATTCAGGACTTTAAAATTTTCGTTCTCATTCATTGATGTCTTATAGAAAATTTTATACGGTTCATTTTTGACAAAACGCATCCAACATATTTTAAACCAGTTTACTGGTTCTCCGTTAAAATTGTTTACCCTTTTAAAAATTGCGTCTTCTAATAATTTTGTTGGTACAAAATCTGCTTGTCTCATTTCATGTACAATAAAGTTATTACCTTTCCGACACTTTTCGATAATATTGTAATAATCTCGGGGGACAAACAATAAATTATTATTAGCGCTTTTGTTATATTGCGTTTATAATATGCTACTGAAGTAGCAGTAATTTAAGTGTAAATGGACTTAGGCCACTTTCAAAATAAATGGCTCATATAATAATTCATTTTAATTGAAAATTATTTACAATAAAGTTATCGTTTTTTCGATTCTTTGATATCGACAGAGTATATCTGTTAATTTACAATGTAACTATGCGTGTTACTTTAATTCTTTTGTTTTAAGCCATGACTTAAAAGCCCCGAACAATTGTTCATAATACATTAGATTTTCTTCTCTATTCTTTACGCACTTTGTAATTTCTTTATCTTCATTGAATTCTTTTAAATGCAATTTTATCTGAAATAAAATGAAGTTACTAATTAATGCAAATATTCATCCAGTATTTTGAAATCTACAAACCTCTTGTAACTTATTCTTATCCGTAGCTGAGAATATCATAAACCTAGCCAATTTAAATCCGAAACTTTTACTAAAAATCATAATAAGAACTTTTATTAATAATAATTTTCCAAAAATATTATTTTCATCGAAAACAAATCATTTCATTTATTTTACCGAGAATTAATTGTGTCCCAATTTCTTAAAATAAAATCAGTAACGAAATTGATCGTTTCATATCGGGTATAAAATAAAGCTTCATAAATGTCAATGCTGTTTTCTGTGGTAAAAGGTGAATTTTCAGCTATAGTCATATTTAAATATTTTTCAATGACATTTTTATCTTCGATGAAATTCAAAAAATCATAGATCTCTGATATATTTTTACTTTCAATATCCAATAACCTATTAAACATCGATTCGTTGAGATTATTTATTCCGTAAAAATAAGCCCATTGTTTCAGATCAGATGGATATCTACAAAATGTTTCTTTGATAAATACACCATTGATGATTTTCGATATTTTCGAAAACTTACTGATCTTTATTAGAAAACTCCAAAAATTCTATCAGTTGAGTATTGGCCGTCATTATGCATTTGAGATGACCAAGAGAACAAGCGAATTTTCTAATTTTCGACTTTGTCAATTGAGTTCTGTAGTCATCATCAGGATCAAAATCAAAACCCACGCTCTCGAAAAGATTATTCATCCAATTGAGAACATGTGGCTGTAAAAATAGTAAATAAGCAATTGTGGGAAAAAAATAAAATATGAATACAATATGAAAATGCAATATGAATAAAATTAAAGTTCTTAAAAATGTCAACTATTCACCTTAAAAAGCTTTTCACCTTCTGTGGTTCCTAAAAACTGATGTAAATAGATATCAAATATTTCGAATATTGGACGCCATACGATATAATCAATTTCACGTGATAAATAATTATACAAGTCTAAAAATATTGTCAAATTCATTCTGTTTGTAACTATCATGCTGTAAGAGTCTTGAATGATCTGTGCTCGATTAAGAACGTGTATCTTTTCGTAGTTAGGTGAATTTAAATACTTTGCCAATTTTATCCAATTAGTCTCGTCGTAATTAACTTGATAATGTCCTACAAAATTACGCTTATCATTTATTAATTCTTTTTTATTTATTAAAAACTCAATTAACACTTTACCAGTTTGTTGCACATTAATTATTATCCAATCATCGGCGTTAATGCCATTAATAATAATACTATCGTTCTTCGGACTCAACCAATGAACGGGTAGCGTGGACAAAAAATTTGTGTCTGTTTCTGTTGCATAATTTATTGGTATCCACCATTTGTCGTTGCACTCATTTAAATCACATTTAATAATCGAAACCGTATTGTTGTTATCGATGCATTGTTTGACAATTTCTTGAGTAATCATTGCCTCGCCAGTAACGTAATTCCTCTTTACTGTTACAAGAGGATAATCTCCTTGATATATCCAAGTTTCCATTACTTCTTTAACATTAAATTCACCTCGTGATATTTCTGGAGTATTGTCTACGCCAATTTGAATTTCATGAAATAAATCGTCGGGTAAAGCGTTGCTATATTGACTAGAAAAAATTCAAAAGAAAAATCTTATTGAAAAATTCCATTAAACGCGACTGCGATTAATTTTATTGTTGTAACGTTATTCGCTTACTTTTTTTGCAAGTAATTAATAAGACTCCTATGAAAAACATCTTCGGAGACGATGTGACGCAACATATTTAATAAAGATTGTGCTGCAGATGAGAATAATGAAAATATCAATTTCATTTTAAAATCGCAATATACATACCAAATATTTCATTATCTTGATTACTTACTTTTTGTGTATAGTATGACATCGAAAATGTCCTCGATATCCGTAGGACTGCATACGTTATAACTGATTGGCTTGTCGCAAGAATTAATGTTATATGGATGAATAATTAATTGTAAATGAAATGGTAACATTTCCATGAATCTCCAACTTGGAAAGACCTGCAATATATTAATGAGTCAATATAATTTTATTTTATGTAACAAAATGCAAATTTCTCATTATGCACCTTGTCAGTTATATAATATTGAAAAAACGAAGCGAAGCCTTCGTTCAACCAAATGTGATTCCACCAAATAGGACTGACTACGTTTCCAAACCATTGATGCGTCAATTCGTGAACAACGATCATCGCAGTCATAGTTTTATCGCTAACAGTGGATGTATTTGGATTGTAGAGAAAAAGTTTCTCGCTGAAATAATTGTAAAAGATCATATATCGAACGAAGTACAAAAGATGCATTGCAGTTTTTATAAATATAAGCATCAAGAGTGATTACTCGTATGTTATGAGGCCCCAGTTCTCCATAGCACCATGACGATAATCTGGAATAACAACGTGATCCATTTTTGGTATCAGCATCGAACTGTTCGTATATTCTTCGAGAAGAATAGAAGCCTTAAGAGCCACCTTGTAACCAAAAATGATCGATGGAAGAATGTTACTTCTCGCCCAAATTCTAATCGTATCGTCGGTGTTAGAAATATTAACAAAATCTGACACAACGAAAGCCAAGGTGTACGTGGACATTATGGGAGTCTTTTGAAAGTGAGTCCACATTTTTTCATCACTCTCGTCGATTGTCGATCTCTCGTAAACCGGCATATTCGAAAGGGCTGTGTAATTCGTTCGATGTTTTATGGATACGTTGAAGGTTGCTTTAAAGGAAGGTTCATCCCAACACGGAAAAGCTTGTCTAGCGTACGTAGCTTGAAATTGCGTTGTTGCTAACCATCTATTCAAATATATATCGCGGTATTTAAATAAATTTAATTAGAAATTGTTATAAATATTTTTCTCTGTCTTTTTTTCTACTCACACTTTTTCGCCGTAATCGTTCGTATAAGAACTCCTGTAAAATCCCGTCAATTGGTCATTGATAATACCCGTGAATTTGGCGTATAAATAATAAATACCTGCTGGTATAACTTTCTCGAAACTTATCGTCATGATTTCCGTTACATTGACATAAACGAAATCAATTGCATTGTATTTTTGACCATCTTCGCTTTCCAAATAAACGCTAGTCTCGTCAAATGTTAATTCAAGGGAATGAAAATCCAATATCCGCGTCATATTTTTCAGATTAAGTCGAGTAATCGTTTCCCCATCGAAGGTGAAATTATTCTCTTCTATATACGGTATTAATTTGATATCGTAATGTATCGGTACAGCGTTTCCACTCAAACGACACGATTCTTCCGATATTTCCCAATCGAGATTTTCATTCTTCTCTGAACTTTCATCTTCCAAAGGAAACGTCTTTAAACTTCGCGCTAATAGCAAAAGCAAAGCGACTAGTGTTTTGATTTTTGCCATGTTTTCTTAAAATAATATAAAATTAATGATGATAATAATAATAATAATAATAATAATAATAATAATAATAATAATAACAATAATTTTTCTTCTGTTCAAATTTACATCGGTTTCATATTTTTATTTACAGTCCATGTTGAACGACAAATTCAGTGAGAAAAAAAGTAATATTTGGAAAATGATAAAAGATAACGTTATAATATCACTTTTTGGTGTACTGTCATCTATTTATTTTTATTGATCAAAGATTATTACTTTGTTCTCTATGCAATCGTAGTTTAATAAAAAAAAAAACTTTCGTTAATGATGTTCTCTCGTAACATCTTTTTTTAATTTCTTATTTACGATCGTCGATATAACATTCAACGCGAATAATTAGAAATAAACGGCGATGTTTCACGTATACTGATTGAAAGAATAATTCACGAGTTAAACTTCTATCCCATTTTTACAAAACGCGCATGCGCTTTCAGACAAACGACTAAGCATGATTATCTATTAAAATTCTATTCATACATACGCGAATTCTAAACCTTGATCTATAACTTGTTTCTGCAATCGTTAATAATAAAGTTTATTCATTAAATTACTTCTTTACGAAACGCACGTACATACAATTATCAATGTAATACTTAATCAAAGTATCTAACAAATTAATTCTGAAAATAAACTAACAAATCTCTACACGCCAATATAAAGTAGTAATATTTTATTAATTTAAATTATATAAATATGAATGGTTATATAACAAGCAGGTATTTACAATCATATTGCGTCTGTTATATCTATTTAACATATACATACATTTAACATACATTTATATTTTCAAATGCGTTTTTTCTGATAAAAAAATATCTTTTCCAATGAAATATCACCGTAACACTTTCTTTGTTCGTGTTCGTACATATATAAAAAATGTAAAAATTAATAATCAAAGAAAATGAAAAGAGAGAATAATTAAAAGAACAACATCAAATAATGCGCAGCAAGATGAAATGGTGTTTTCATCCTACCTTTCTATTGCAAATAACACATTAAAATTAAAATAATTGTTATTGTAGTGCCGCGAGTAATAAAGATATAGTTATTAAGGCGGTAGTAAAAGTAAGAGAACTGGAGCTATTTGGTTTTGCGGTTGTAGTCTTTGGTTTGACTGGATAATTATTTGTTATTAAATAATTCTTAATGGAATCTCCATATTGTTCGAACCATTTCATGTTTCTATCTGCAATATCCAGAATTTTGTCGGTGTCTTTTAAACCGCTTGCTAAAGTAACGTTATGTAGCTGAAAGAAAGAATAACATAAATAAATAAATGTGAATTAATGCTATATAATGTTAAGCTTTATAAAAAAAAAAAGGAATATAAATTTCTAACCAAATGTACATCCTCCTTAACAACAATTCTGCCCGCAAATTCATAAAGGTAATCCCATAGATTCTTCTTAAATTGATGATTACTAAAAAAAAGAAACATTTGTGATTATCATATACATTTACGTATTGTACATTTTATATCACTCTCTTTACTATAATTTAATATTAATAATTTTAAATGACTTACGAAGCTTTCAATTGTTTAAGATGTTTGTCCAAAAATTGAAGAATAGCTTTGACACCAACAGGATTATTTGAGTATATTGTTTCGAAAGTATCGATGAAATACATTTTTATAGGTTCTATATAAAGAAATTTGTGTAGGAAACTTTTCAAAATTTCTGGCGACGATGAGCAACCCAAAGAGGTGAACATTTCTGTTCTCTCATCATTTCTCATATGTTCTGTTAATCCTTTAGTAAAAAGTCCTTCCCATTCATCCTTAGTAGCAGACCTTACTGCTGCACATAATGTAACTTTCTTCAAATCTGGAGAAAGACTGGAATCAATTATTAAACGACGGATTAGATTATTATAATTTGTAAAAAATTTCATCTTTATAAATTTGAAATAAAAATAAAGAAAATAAAATATACTCACGTAACATTGTTATTTGGATCAAACGAAAGATGAACTAGTTCAACGGCCTGACTTTGACATTCACTCAATCCAAAAGCACAAGCCCATTTTATCGCGTCCACTCTGAGAAGTTTCGTTAAATAATCATCATTCTCATTTTCAAGGATTGACGTAATGTTATATAACTGATGAACAATTGGATTGAGATAACTCTAAAACATTCAATAATATAACGTTATATTTTCATTCAATAAATGATATTGAAAATTAAAATAATTCATAATGCATTGAAAACATACTAAAAATTCTTTGTATAATTCAGTTAAGCCTAATTGTTTGTTCATTGTCGATAAACCGTTCAACGCTGCTTTCCAAACGATGTAGTCTGTTTCTTTTTCAAGGTATTTAACTAAATTTAAAGTTACGCTGTAGTTCAACAATCCAGCATGCGCCAGATTAAAAGCATCATCGACTAGTTGAGCACGGTTCAAAGGATGTATGGTATTGAGATCGCCATGTAACAAGTATTCGGCTATGATATTCCATGATTCGCTATCGTAATTGACTCGATAATATCCTTAATAAATAAACAAAAAATGAGAATATATATATGTAAAAAAAGAAGTAAAATAAATATCTACACAATTATTTTTTCATGAAGCTTACCAGTTTGTTGTACGTTGAAGATAATCCAACCTTCCACATCGACATTTTTATCAATAGTTATCTCTTTGTTGGGTAACAACCAAAGTTTAACTGAAGTATCACTGAACGATGAATTATCTTTCTGTTGCACATAGTTCAAAGGTATATACCAAGTATTCTTATTGGCATCAGTTCCTTTTACACTATAAAATGGTTCTTGTTTTACGGTGATCGATGGATTTTTGTCTTTTCTATTTACGGTCACCGTAACTACTGGATATCCCGCTTGATTTGTCCAAGTTTTAAAAACTGTAGTAAGGTCAGTATTTTCTGGCAGATCAGTCTTGTTTGCAACTGCAGAGAGAGCTAAGAAAAGATTTTCCGATGTCACGGCTCCAAATTTACTAACAAATTAAAATATATTACTTAACAATCATATATATTTCCAGAATAACGATAAAGATTAATTATTAAGTCAGCTTACTTATCTGTAAGATATTTCTGTAGACCTTTTTGAAAATTGTCCTTTTTGAGGACGTGACTGAACATTCGGATGACAGAAGCACCTGTAATAAATCAATTTGACGTAATCATTAATTCATATAAAATATACTTTTCAATAGATAGTTACCTTTATCATAAGAAATGGTGTCAAACATATTGCTAATTTCTTTTTCGGAAGATGCGTCGTTATCCAAAGCCCGTGATTTAAATTTCTCTGCATCGTACGCAAGTGCATTTTGGAGACATTTCACGTTAAATTGATCCATAAAATGCCATTGTTTATCGATCTGTAAAGGACAATAACAATGTATCAACGCACCGTAATGCATCAATTCAAATGGAATGGTTTTATTTTGTGATAATGTCAATTCTTACTTCATCGGTGATTAAGTATTGGAAATAAGTGGCAAAACCTTCGTTAAGCCAAATGTGTTTCCACCATTTAAGAGTTACTAAATTTCCAAACCACTGATGTGCTAACTCGTGGGAGATTATACTCGCTACTCGTTGTTCATCGATAGTTTTGTTTAGGTTCTTGTCGTACAAAAGAGCTGTTTCTCTGTTAATAAAATTTATTATTTAGTGTCACAAGAAAAAAATAGAAACTTACAAAATATTGAAAATATGATTTTCCTTACCTATACGTTACGAGACCCCAGTTTTCCATTGCAGTCGGTTTCAAAGCAGGTAGAGCAATTTGTTGCATCTTTCGAAGATTTTCCATGCTATAGTTGATTCCAGTATACTTATTCATAAATTCTAATACTTTATAACCAATTGTTGCAGCACTTTTAGTCATATTAGATTCTACCAATCTTGAATAAACAATTACATTATTTTCTTCGTATTCAGAAAATTTAGTTACTGCGTATGCTACGAGATACGTGGACATTGGCAGAGTTTTATTGAACTCTTTTTCTTCAAAATCTCCTTCGATTTTTGTCGATTTTTCACCCATATTCGAAATTGCTTTATATCCCTTGTTATATTTTATCCGAATAGAGAAGGTTGCCTTTAGGTGTGGTTCATCAAAACATGGGAAAGCATTACGGGCACCGATTGGTTCAAAGTCTGTCATAACATACCACCTATATGAATTGAATTAAAACGTAGATCAGTTGATAATAGAAACAAATACAAAATTCTATAACGTTGGATACATGAATTTAATTCACTCGTCAATGTTTTTATGTTTTTCTTTTTCTTACCATTCATTTAAATCTTCATCAAGATAAGAGCCCTTATAAAATCCTTTAGCAAGATTACTTATCATTCCATTATACTCCAATATCAAAGTATATGTCGATTTTTCATCGATTTCGTCCTTTAATGTCAATATCTTAATGTCTGTACCATCTACAGATTGTACACCTGTTATCTCAATCTTAGTCACATCCTTTGAATCCTTGTGTAACTCTGTTTTCGTTAAACTGATAGAGTTTGTAAAATGGAGCCTGATCTCTTTCGTTTTTCCTTTAACTCCTAAATTTATAGTAACTTTTCCGTTATATTTGTAATCAGGTATTTCGAATTTGTTGAAATCTAAATTCAAGGAAATGTCGTAATGTTTGGGTTCAATATTTTCAGGTAATCTATAATTAGGCGGAGCTTCGTCATATTCAGAGTAATGGCTTTTATCAACTATTGTTTTCTTCTCATTAATAACTTTGTTATTTCTTAATATATTCGAATGTTGTGATGGATACTCAGCCAAAGTTATCACCACGAGCAACGCCATAGACACTAATACTTTCAAAAGAGCCATTTTGGCAGAAGGTAACGTTTCTTTCTACTACAGCGATCCAAATTTCTGATTTCTGTGTGTCAAACAATTGATTAATTAATAAAATACATTTTTAATTATATTTAATTAATGAACGATATGTGTGAACGAGATATGGATTCCTGTAACTTTGGTGAATCTTTACTGTAATCGATTCCGTATATAAGAAGAAAAATTAATAACCAAAAATTTCTTTTAAACATATGCAACACTATTCAACTATTGTAACCATCAAGGGTGTTTTCTCTGACACATTATATGCACGTATGATATTGTTTATCCTTAGAAGAACTGTTAGAAGTATTCTCTTTGCAGTGAAATACGAGCTTGAAGATATTTTATTAACGATTGTCTCAATTTGCCTATTTTTACAAGTATTGTTTGAATTTCTATGAAATCTTTTTTCAACACTTCGCCGAAGTATTTCGTGGCTCTATAACGCGATAAGTTTCGAAATAGACACAAAAACGTTTGGAAATAAAAATACGAGATCGAACGTTGATTTAATATTTGTAAATTGATGATAAACGGAATAATTTATTTTCCTGAATGAATTATATCGACATATAATACTCGTTGTAATTCGAGAACAAAATTGAAATGGAAACTTTCTTTGCTTTCACATACACAATACACGGTTGTAATTGTTCCCCAATGTTACAGGATGCTCCCTGTATAATGCGAAGAAAAAATTTCGAACTTACGAAAAAAACAAAATATATATATATATTTATAAATATTTTATAAAAAAAAAAATACGCACAATAAATATAAATATATAATATATGAAAAGATATAATATATACCTTTAAGAGAAACGAAAAAAAAAATGAGAAGAGAATTAACGTCCGTTCCTCTTGTCGATGGTTGTTGATCGAAAACCCTATCGGCAAAAATCTTCGTGCTTTATAAACCAGTATCGATGTCACCGTGATATAAATTTTGTCGATTCCTCTTCTAATCTTATCGCACTGGTCGTTCACAGGAGAAGATATTATATTCGTCGAGAGATGATCATTAAGTGTTCTATTTTTTAGGTAACTCGCAAAAAAAGTTCTCAAAAAGTTTCATCAGTGTTGATAACGATTAAGCGATAATTTAGATACAATAGAAACCGACCAATGAGCATCGAACGAATAGATAAGAGTGTAGCCAGGTTCGATTCGTTGTCTTATCGATTGAAATCGTTAAAATGTTCATATACGAAACGTTACAAATATAAATCATTTTTTCTTTATTCTTTTAAAGTAATAAATGCAGAAATGAATTTTATTTCATCTGTGTGTTATACTTTCAATTAAGTAAAATCGCATTGTTGCCTAACAAATAATAAAATATTTTTAAGAAAAATGTTATATAAAAATGAATGTATAAGTAATGTAATGTCAATTACATTCACAATCTTATAATTGCATACGTTGTCGAAAACAAAATATTCCATGAAATAGTATTAAATTGTATTTTTTGATAACAATCGTAGACATATAATCTTTTTTTCCTTTTTTTATCTATACCAGATTAAAAACTGACGTCAGCGTATATTACTAAGTGTCGAAAATTCACTTATCTTTTCTCATTTTAGGTATGATTCAATGAATATCGATGTTGTATTGTAACGGTAGGTAACGATCATTATTATCTGCATTTGTAAGTTGGAAATATTTTCTCTATAAAAGATAAAGAAATATTGTCGTTAATTATCAAAGATGGAAAGAAAAAAAAACATTCAACTTGTTTGCCATTTCTTTGCGAATGATTCAATTGACATAAAGAGATTACTTTTACAACAGTTTCATCCGTTTTACAAAACCAATCGATATAAACAAGCAATGACCTGGCAGAAAGATTTCGAGAGTATTAAATTAAGATAAAGATAAAATTTGGATAAAAAATTCAGATAGTTACGATATAATATAAACGTACAAAATTATTTCCCTCTATGATATTTTATTAAAATATTTTTCACATTTAACAATTTCTTTTCTACAAATGGTTAAATATTGTATAATAGAAAAAGATATTTTATACACGATATATATATCAACTTGTACACATTTAATAATTAGATTAGAGATTTGTGGCAATGATAGGCGCATATTTTTCGACCCACTTTGCGTTTTCACTGGCAGAATCAATTGCTTTCTTAGCTGCTTTCAATGCTGATCCAAGACGATTCCCATTTTGTTCGACGAAATGATTAAGCTATAAAAATTCAACGTCGTACATTATATCATCTTACGATTCATTAAAAATATTTATCGTACTCGTAATGATAAACAAATATTATAATTACTTTATTCGTTTGTTCCATAGTTGTCATACTTTCTCCTATAGTATTAAATATCTTACTTAAGAAATCGTATCCCCGTCTGTTGAAAAGAATAATAGTTATTTTACAGTTATTTGACTTTGATCAAAAATATATATCTTCGTTTTAATATGTATACATATATATATATATATATTTGATACGTACGAATCGATAATGCTTTCGAAATTGTTTTCAACGAATTCTAAAGTATGATCAACGTTCTCTGGATTACCCTTCGTAACAGCAGTAACTATCGAAAATCTGTATTGCTTACGAATTTTCGAACTTGGAGAAATCGATACGTTGAGGTACCTATCGACAAGTTACGATTTGTGAATTTTCATTGGTACACGTGTGTACCTTTCTACTTACTTATTGATGCTCTATGAAACATACTTATTTAATAAAATAGGATTTCGAGTGCATCCTAGTGCAGACAATAAAAGTTCTTGTTCGATATGTAAATCCGTCTCGAGAAATTTGTTCCACATTGTAAACCAATCATCATCATTCCCATTACGTATACCAATGCAATAGACGAAACTTTTCAAATTTGCCGATATTCTAAATGATGAAATATAAACGAAAAATCGATATTAATGATATAATAATTGATAGAAAACGCGTTTATAAAAATGATTTCAAATGACGTTGTTAACGTTTATTCTCTCTCTTTTTACGTTTTATTCGACTCCGAAATCCACGAATTAAATAACATTTTCGATGTATCGAGGCAGTGTGCGTTATTCAGAGCACAGGCTGCCGATAAAATTATCTCACGTTGAAGTTTTGTTCGTACGTTACTGCAATATAAATCCTCCTTGAATCCTAATAACTCGTATATAGGTAGAATCAGATTTTCGGCGTATTTCTAAAAAAAAAAGAAAAAAAGAAAAGAAATGAACGAAATTCTCAGGGGATAGAAAAAGATTTTTTTCTGGCTTGGATATATAACTCGCTATAATGAATAACGACGACAACAACAAAATGTATAATATAACGAATTATGAGAGAGCAACTATCGATCGAAATTACGTTTCTCTCTTTAACCGTGGTTTTCTTATTTATTTCTTTTGTTTTATTCTTTTTGTTTACCTGGAATGCTTTATGAACCGTCGATATTTTATTTAGAACTCGATTGAGAAACATGAAATTATTAATGGCAGCGATCCAAGGCTCGTAATCCGTCTCTCTTTTAAGATACTTGGACAAGTCAAATGGGATAGAATAATTTATATATCCTGATCTTGCCAAATTAAAAGCATCGTCGAGGAGTGCCGCACGATTCACCGAGGGAACGGAGATAAATTCCTTTGATCTTAGGTGATCAATAAGCATCTTCCAATTGGACTCGTCGTAATTGACTCGGTAGAATCCGATTTGTTGTACGTTGAAGAGTACCCACTCGTCGTCACGAAACTTAGGAATCATCAGACTTTTATTCCGAGGAGTCAACCATAGCTTTGCCCGAGTCCTTTGAAAATCGATGATAGACGAGCTCGTTGCGAAGGTCAGAGGTATCCACCATGCGCCAAGTTTCTCGTCATTGTCGCCGTCCTTGATTTTTTTTTCCTTATCACGATTCAGATAAAATTTTTCTTGCGACACCAATGTCCAATGTCTCGTGTAGTTACGTTTCACCATTATCAAAGGATATCCAACTTGATTTGCCCAAGATTCGAAGACGTCCTTGATGGATTGACAATTGTTCGTTTCATTCGACGACGTATCGATTGATCTCTGCAAATAATGATACAAGTTGTTTGGTCTTGCTGCACGATACGACCTAAAATATGCCTTTAAACATTATCACGATTAATTTATATATATATTATATTAGTTTGATTTTTTAGACAATAAAAAAACACATACATTTCTTCCAAATAATAATGCAATCCTTTTTGAAAGACATCTTCACCGATCGCATGATTTAACATTCGAATTACAGACGCTCCTGTAGACAATAAATATATATATGCGTTTTATTTTATCTATCGTGAGAGATATTTTCGAAATAAAACGAATAGAAAATTTAAGAACCTTTTCTATACGTGACAAAATCTAACATTGCCATGATGCTATTAGGACTTCCAACATTTCGACCATTCATGGATCTATCGTGATTCATAGAATCTAAGAGAAGAGTTGGTTGAACGTAATCGACGACAAACATATCCATCATTTTCCATGTTGGTTGTACCAAAGAAGGTCCAAAATATTGAAAGTACGAGGCGAAACCTTCTTTCAACCATGCGACATCCCAAAATTCTGGTGTTACTAAATTTCCAAACCACGTGTGAGCGTATTCGTGTGCCATAGTTGTCAAACCATTGACTATGTTTCTCATTGGAATTGTTTCGTTTTGAAATAAGACAACCGATTCGCGATACGTTATCATACCCCAGTTTTCCATGGCGTTAAAATTGAAATCGGTTATGGCAAATTGGTCCATCTTTTTAATCGGATTCTCCACTTTCATCCAATCCCGTAATGCCGAATAAATTAACCAGCCTTGATTCAAAGCTAAGCTACCGTGCGAACGCATGCTGTCTCTCGTCCAAATTTTAAAATCTTTCGAAAATTTGGAAAATTCGACCACGTAATCGTGCACCGACCATCCGACCAAATACGTTGACATTCGTGGAGTAGTCGAGAACGTCGTTAAACGATAAAAATTGTCTCTGTAAATATATTCCAATTTAATGATATTTTTATTGAAAATATAAAACAATTTGGAAACTTCTACTGTTAACTACATAAAATCGAAATATTTTTCTTTTTATATACTAACATTTGTTCAATCTTTTTTACATTGGTATTACTGGTAACAGTTTGATTAGAATAATGACCAATGGTTATTGTAAATGTTGCTTTGAAATGTGGCTCGTCCATACAAGGAAAAGCTTGACGTGCGTAAGTTGGTGAGAATTGAGTTACACCAATCCATCTGGTAAACAATTTTAAATGTGAAAATAAATGAAGTTCGATGATATGAGTGACATAATATTATTTGACTCACTTCTTTCGTCCATTCACCTCGTAGGAACTTCTATAAAATCCAAACACGTCATCCCCGATTTCTCCCGAAAATGAAAGAATTAATGTATAACGTCCAATTTCCAAATATTTCACGCATTCGATGATATAGAATTGTTTATTTGTATCGATGTATTGATCGTGAATTGAAATTTTATCGTTTCCTTTGTATAGGAAAGTTTTATCCTTATCTATTCTTAACTTATTGGCATGCAGTATTATCGTGTTTGTCTTTTCCAATACGTCCAGCGTTATTCGAATTTCGGCCTCATAGACAAACTCGTTTACAGCCAATTTTGTTAATATTCGTAGGTTATAAGATATTGGAATTACGTTAGTTGGTAATCTGTATACCAACGCATCATTGATTTTTTCCTTTGATCGACTATCGTTCTCGTTACTCGCACAATTTAAATCAATTAAAACGAAATAAACAAGGAAACTTAATATTATTTTGTTAAAGAAAATATCCATTGCGTTAATTTGAAACGTTGCGTTGACGATTCACAAACGATGCAAATCATAGAAAAATCGAGTTACCCAAGATTCGAAAAGATTAATCTGCTTGCTCGATTAGAAATGAAATTTATTTATTGTGCAGTATTTCTTTATCGTGATAAAGACGATCTTTTAATCTTCGGGTATCTATTTTGTCATTTATAAAGTACTTTGATACATTGACTTATCGAATGCTATTGATTTTAGACAATTCAGAGCGACTTACGAATGGAAATATTTACTTCTGATAAATAAATAAAACCATCATTGTGAATCGAGACGCAGATAACTTCTCGGGAAAGAAAGTGTGTTACAAAATTCTGGATTATAATACTTTTGAATAAACAATTAGAAAAAAATTCTTTGGCAACGTTTCTTTCAATCATTTTTCTCTATTATATATTACAAAAATCGTACCGAATTTATCTATCGGTACCAAGCATTTATTTTTAGCAAATAATATTGTACGATAAGATTTGATTATACGACCGTTTAATCAAATTTCCTACCTTATTATCGAGCAAAGTACAAAGTTTTATTCATCGTAACGATAATATATTTTTTTTAATCGTATTAATTGTCACAATCGAAAGGAAATCTTACGGAAATCTAATATTAATTTTTTATTTATCCGTATTATCTTTATGATTCATTTTTGACGTATGTTATTTCTTTTTTTTTTTTTTTTGGAAAAAAAGAAAAAACTTCGGCTCGTTCGCGCGTCGTTTCTTCCGAAGTATTTTATTTTTTTGTCTTTTTTTTTTTTGCGAAATCGAAACAATGTATTTTCAGAGGTTAACGATGTTGAGGTTTTCGATGAAACTCGCAGAAATTTGCATATAATGGAGACAGAGGCGAGCGTGTCGTATGCTTTAACCTTCGTAAATGTGTTTACTTACATTCCACATAGCTCGATATTGGAAGCTCTCTGACGGACGTGCCACCTTTGCTCGTGCACGTGTACTTATACGACAATACCTCACGTAATTCGATGCATCATCGTCGTCATTCCTCTTTGCTAAAACATCGATCATTATATTCGATCATTTATACGAGTAGGTAATTTTAAATTTGTCACAAATCGGACGAAAATAAATCCGAACTAAAATATATTATTTTATTTTTCTTATCATTATCTTGTACGTGTTTCTTATATCTAATTTTGAATACAAAATTTGAGGAAAAAAAAATTATCACCCGATAAAGTTAATTATCTTGTACTAAACCAATCGTGATTATACGAGAGAAAAACTTAATAAGATTAATAAATAAAATATAGAATATTAATTCTCGTCAGATAGTTTTCGGATTAACGATCTGACAATGTCTTTAACAATATATAAACCTGTGTACCTAAACGTAACTACGCAGACAATGATTTTCACTTTAAACGATTTTTCTCTCTTTATCTATTTTCGTTCGTTCTTTTCTTCTTACTATCTTACCATCTCTTTCTCTACCTTCTGTCTCTTGGTTTCATATGAGACAATAGAATTCTCTATGGATTTAAACAATGCTGGTCGACTACGAAATGAATAATTACATGAATTTAACGAGCTACCACTACTACTATTTAATTACTTGGTTGACTTAACGAGCTTGTCTGCGTGTATACATTTACCTTGAATCATCAAATGTTACACGTGTAACTAGTACCTATTCTTCAACTGTTTTGTTACTATTTAATTATTGGTGTAAAGGATGGTCAAATCATTAACACCTTTAAATTGTCGAGAATGAATGATTTGTTCAAGATGTTGTTCTCGAAAGAACATTCAAAAATAGATTTGATCGAATTAGAGGCTAACGCGAAAAAGAAAATCTCCGAGGAAATTTCAGTCATGATTGTTCTGCATAATAAAAAAGTCTCATAGAATTCCATTATACGCTGCCATGGTATATACGATATTTAAAATCCATGATGAAACAGTCATACGTTGAAAACTTTCGAAGTTTACTGTATCTTACGTAGTCTTTGCACGAAAAATAGAATAAAATAAGTTCATTGCTTCCACGTATACTCCTTCGAGAAATGAAACTTTAGCTTAGTCGCGTTTAACCCTTTGAACAGTGAATTTTGCAGTTAATTGCTTAACTGGCTTATAAGACATTGTAGAGCAAAGAACAATACAACCACGACGAGATCAAATTGTAATAGTTAAAATATTCAAATAGTAATAAATATTAAATTAACGGTAAAATTTTGACTTTGATGTCATATTCAAAAAGTAAATATATGTTTGTTAAAGGCTATCATAGCGAATATATATATATATATATAACTGGAAGAGTTCTTCTACGAAGAATATAGACATTTTTACTAGAGAAAATATTTAAACAAGAAAATGAATTTATTTGACTTTACTTTCTTTTTCCCCTTGATTAAGTTATCCGTGCTTCTTATTATTCATTTATTTTTAACTCGTATTATTCGTACATTGTGTAACTCATCTTGAACTTTATAATCATGATTTATCGCTTTAACATTCTTAATATCAACAACATTTCTTAGAAAATTACCTTTTTAAATAGAAATATCGCGATCGTTCCTTTTTGCTTTAATGTTAAAATATTTCGCAAGACGAAAAGAAAAAAAAAAGAAAAGATCAAAAACGAATTATATCTAACCGGCTTATCTATTATCTTGAAATCGTTTATTCATCAATCGAAAGATGACTGATTGTTTTGTCATTAAAAATTTTATTAATTTCGTATCACTGAACGAACGCTTTTGATCTCACGGAAAAAGATATCCTTCAAATAAATACTCGATTACTAAAAATTGTTATAACGTGAGTAGAAATCGTTCAGATAACGACGGGTCTCTAGTTACTTACGGCCACGGTTGTTCGTTATCATATCGGAAAGTATTTTCAAAATCGATAAATTTAAAGTTTTTTTAGTTTAACCTTGAGTCTCGCTATTCGACTCGATAAAAGACCTCGATAATTTCCTAGTTACTAACGTAAGACTGCATCTTCTTTTTCACATATAAAAAAATAATGAAAGATCAACACGCGCACGTATTTAAAATATTATTAATAATCAATGAGAGAACGTGACGATAAAAATGATTACAAAAAACAACAAATTATATCGATCATCGAACGAATTGTTACATGATATTACGAAACATCGTTATTATTTCGAGTAATTATCGCATTGGTCGTTCTATTTCGAGTTCTTTCACAAAAAGAAATTTATATAAAGAAAAAAATAAAATAAAATATATTATTCGCAATCTTACGCAAAAGTAATTATTATACAATAAGCGTATCCCCCTTCCTCAGATATAAATAAAATGACATCAGCTACTAAAAAACATCCATTATTCGGACAAACAAAAGAAAGAAATCTGTCTATTGATAATATTGTTGTTATCAGGAAAATTTCTCACCATGGTGGGTTTTTTTTTTTCGTATTACCTATGACTCTTCGCGTTTCTCTCGCGATTTACTCATCGTCCGTTGCATGTTGCAAGTATCGGAATATTTTTTACCCCACGGCTCTTTTTATTTCACGGTAGAGCATTGTTTTTCAACAGTACTGTATACTAGCGCCCAATACACACGCACACACGCACACACACACATACACACATAGATATAGAAGCAATAGTTTCGTTGTGACATTACTTGCACATATTTTTACAGCGGGTGCCCTTCGCGATTCTCCAAATCTTGGTAGTGAAAGCTCATCTCTATACTGTATAGACTAAAACCCTATGCATAATATACACAAAACGTAGGTACTTTTATGCGACTATATTACCGGTCTTTATTTATCATGCGGAAGATGCACCGTGTTGACAAGGAAACACGGCAATCTCCCTAGAGGAATACAAGTTGCAATGCACACTCTTTAAATACTACCTGCTTTTTCTTTGACTTTTTCCTTTTTCTCGATGTATACGGTATTCTAGGCTCACAATGTTTTTTCCTTCGTCTTTCTCTCTCTCTCTCTCTCTCTCTCTCCCTTTTTTTTCCCACCAACTCACCCCGTTCTTTTTTCTTTACCCTATGTTCAATATTCCGAACATTTTGCGTCGGTACTTTAATGGAAAATATTAGGGACCTGGTGAAGATCTTTTGGACGATGTGACTAACAACAACAACAATAACAACAAAAAAAGGAAGGATTCTATCCAGTGTCCTGACAAAGTCTCCGCTTTGAAGAAATAAAAAAACAAGAGAAATTCAATAGAAATCAGGGATAGACGGTTTTTTTTTTTTAAATGAGAAAAAGGAAGAATTCGACTGGGTGGTACTAGTAATGACTGCCGTAGACGGTGGTAGACGCTAAGAGAAATAAAAGGAAAAAAGGAAGTGAAACGGTTTAGTCAGGACCGAAGTCTAATTCAGTAAGGGGAAGCAAAGACAGTAAAAGCCGGAACGTTGCCTTGGAGCCTTTGCGCAAACTGCTAGACTTGCTTGCACATCGCCTTCGGTACCACGATAATTTGATTATCAGTTCGTTTGAAAGCCTCGTTTCTCATTTACGGAAGCAGCTGCAATAGACAGTCCCTTGGTTCGCCAAAAGCCATTGGCTTTATACAATAATATTGGAAAAATTCACTGAATATTGTGCAAATAAACGTGATTTTTATTTTACTTTTTTTTCGTTCGTTCGTTCGTTCGTTCGTTTATTCATATCTATCGCGTAAATATCGCTATTGTTTTGCATTAAATTAATTCATATATATATATATACATATATATATGTGTGTGTATGTGCGTGTGTGTGTAGGGTAATAAAAAAAGAACTGGCAAAAGCATATTCGACACATTCAAGTCAAAAATGATATTATTAAAAAGTTTTTCCCCCCCTCCCGCCCCAAGTTCGCCACGGCGGTAGTCATTCGCGTTCGATAAAATTCTTTTTTTATTTATGAAACCTGTTTCTTATTTAATCAACGATAGGAGCGTAGAAAATATATTGCAAGAGAATGCAATTAGCTCGAGCCACTTTCGGAAAATACGAAGAAGACGCGCTGATAGAAAACTTGATACCTACTCTCTTCGAAATGGTATTCTATTTCAAACTGAATTGAACACCGCTATTCCTCTTACTCTATTAATTATATATATTTTATATGTATATATAGAAATCACTCTCTCTCTCTCTTTCTCTTTGAAATTATTATTATTAATCAATCCCATTGGGAGAATGATATCTTCAGATTCGTCGACGCGATCACGATACGAAATTCTGTCCCGTGCTGTTAAGAGTTCTAAGCATACTCTTTCGGACGAAACTTCCTCGTATCTTTATCAACGAGAGAAAAAAGGGTAAGGGGAGAGAGAGAGAGAGAGAGAGAGAGAGAGAGAGAGAGAGAGAGAGAGAGAGAGAGAAAGAGAAGAAAGAAGGAAAGAGGTGTACGTACTTTTGAAGGGAATGGTTTTTGTGTTCGCACGAGTAAATATTAGCGGAGGATGATGAGAGGGCCCTCCGACCACTTCCACTTTTCTTTCTTTTCTCCCCTTTTCTCATCCCATCGTAACGATGACCGACCACCACCACCACCACCATCATCTTTTCGTCTCTCTCCTCGGTTATATCTCTGCTTCTGTTTTCCGTCTCCACTTTTTTTTTTCTTTTTTTTCTTTTTCTTTTTCTTTTTCAGTCACCTACCCTCGCGACGTCATTCCCAAGACCCACCGGTGCTTCCACCTGTCCATCTCACGAACCCTCACCCCCCCCTTCCTTCCCACCACCGTTAGATCTAACCGAAAAGCACGAGCTTGATATTAACTCCATTCATGAGCGTGCTCGCTACGATTATGACGTTCCTTTTATCGGAGGGTTCTTGAGGACTATTCAAAAAAAATCACCACTCTCGGATAATTACTCTTGCATTTGTCGAGTTTTTCCGTTTAGTTCTAATTCCCATTCTATTTTCAACTATCTTACGTATTTCTTTTCCGCGAATTTCAAATGAAAACTTTTGTGATCGGCTTTAGGATAAAAAAATAAGATTTCTTATTTATATCTCGTTAAAATTTTCTTTTGAAATAATTAATCGTACAATGTTATTATGGGGACGATCGTTTCGTTAGTTTATTTTTCGTAAACCAGTTGGTTAGGTTAAACCTCAGAGAATTATAAAAGAAACTGAAACTACGTGGTAAGAGCAAGCAACGGGTTAATTAGGACCACTTTTGTTTCGTTAAAAATGGATTACAGCGTGGAATATGAGAAAATAATGCATATGCACTTTTAGTTTTTACGAATTTTATTATCTCAAGATATTTCGTTAAGAATACGCAAGAGGATACGATATATTATGTATACATCTGTAAATATGTTCACGCTTTCCTACGGACCGTTCCGGTCAACGAACGCGATTTTCGCTGACCGCGAAGAACGTTTCTCCCCTGAAATTTTGTCAGAATTTTTTCGAGGGTAGCCTTAGGGTTGCGTCTGTTTGAAATGAATGGTTTTCTACAGGGGCTGCGAGTGAAAGAAAAGAGAGGGGGGATTACCAAGGCAATGTATACAATGCCCGTATTATTACATTGACCGTAACATATACATACGCATACATCACCAATACGGGTGAAACGATGGTAAGGAACTTTTATTATGAAGGAAATATCGCTGCCACGAGAATTCAATACCTCTGTTGCGAATGAATGAACCAATGAATATTAAACATAAATGACTAGAAACTTGCTCGGATTTTTTTACCAACTCGTAGTAGATGCTAAAGAAAGAGTAACTCCCAATAATGAGATAATAAAAATAATAGAACGGAGTAGATAATAGAATTAGTCCTTTGAGTGGGTACCTACTTGTTACCTATTTTTACCCACTTTTTTTCTTCTTTTTCCTTTTTTCTTTTTTTTTTTCTGATGAACGTCAATCGCTCTTCCGGAGCGTTTTCGCTCTTTCGCATATTTTAACATTCCACGCCCGGTTATAAATAAATTTCATTTTACAATACATCGGACTAAATATCGGACCGCTTGACCTGCCAGCAGAAATGTATGAGAACGGGGGAAGGGTGCCGTTGAAGTTCAACCATTCGAGTTACTTTCGATCTTTTTACGTCAGTAAAAATTACGTCACGATATTTCGTTCAGTAAATCGAGTAGGTATGCAAAGTTTTTAATTTTATATATGCGCATTTTTCATTCGATCGAAAGAATTTTTCTTTTTTTTTTTGATGAATAGAATTAATATAATAGGTTAACAAGTTTTTATCGATATTAATAAAGTTTTTTTTTATTTTTTTTTTCTAAATATTCAATTACATTTCATTACAACTATTTGTTAATTCTTTTAGTGAGCAATTAAATGCAATAATTTCGGTGCGCTTTAGTTTAAACCCTGTTAAAGTACGTTGACATTCTCGCGTATTCGTTCTAACGTATATGAATGTCGCTAGAAACGAGAAGACGGAGACATTAAAATTTTAATCCGTTGTTCATTGAGCTTAAGAATTATCTCAACTACTCTATCTAATTACCAACTCTTGTGTTTTCTCATTCTTCCCGACGTTTTACCTACATTCAATGGAAATCCTATAGGCCGTAGCGTAGAAGTTTTCGCGATAACGAACGAACGAATCAACGAACAAACGTTTCTCGCTAAAGCTCTCTCTTTGACATAAACCAAGCATGCGTTTTCACGAATGCTTTTCATCGGCAAAATAGGAAGAGCTATCGAATTTCATAAGTGGAAATGATTTCGGTGAAGCTTTCGGAATACGAAGATGATCGTATGAGAAGGAGAAGAATGCTTGGGAACGTTTGAACTATGCCCTTGGATGCAGGAAAGTTGAGAATGGAAAGATGCGTGAGAAAATTGGCCCTTATTCGTTTTCTATGCAAGAAAGGGAAAAAGTAGAATCAGAAAAAAGAAAAAAACCAGAAAATAAATGATAGAAAAGTGAAGAAGAGTATAGGTAAAAAATGACGAGTAAAGAAATAAGAAAAGTTTATAACTGTATATATAAATATATTTTGCTTATAAAAAAAAAAAATATATATATATATACTTAGAACGTATCAAAGAGAGAAAAGGAAAGAAAAGTTAGGAAAAGTAATAAAGGAATCCCAGCGTCTATCTATAATTCTTTATTTACAATTACTAACTAGTTATCATCGCGCAGAGGGTTAATAAAAAAAAATATGCGCGCAAGTAAATATCAACGTTCAATCGTTCGCGAGGAGTTAGCTCATTGTTAATTCACGTACTCGTACGACTGTAGGAAGGCGCTTGCAGGCTTCCAACGATTATGACGAAAACTAGGTGAATTGATAATATAACGGGAAGGAAGGGAAAACGATTCATCCCCCTTTTGGATGGACGCACGTCGAAGGGTGGCTTGCGTTCATGCGCAAGCGCACACACTCGCGGAACGAGGTTGGCGACGGCTACAACAACTACTACTACTACTACTATTACGACTACGACTACGACTACGACTACGACTATGACTATGACTACTACTACGAAGACGAGGACGAGGACGACGACGACGACGACGACGACGACGATGGTGGCGACGGTGGTGAAAACTGGACGACGTTGTTACTCACGGCGCTCACTTCAATCCTCGCCGCGTGTCCGTCGACCCGGACTACAATCTCGATCTTTTTCTTCCCTTTAATTTCTCTTACACCCCTTTCGCTTCCACTAGTAACCGTTACCATAATTATCATCGTCGTCATCGTCATCGTCATCGTCATCATTATAATCGATCATCTGTCATCGTTTATCGTCCAAACTCGTCGTCAAATACAACATTCGCGCGTTTTTCCCATAAAACAAAAAAAAAAACAAAAAACAAAAAATCTCGGACAATATAATGAATCGTGTAATGTTATAAGTTCGTCGTGTCTTTTAAATATCGATCTTATCTCATAAGTACGATACGTTGTTCGTAAACGTTCGGCGTCCCAAGTTAAATTCGGCGTACTCAAGGAAAATCAACAATTTCGTGACAACTGTTAAAAGGATTCTATGACGAAGTTTGACAGCAACAACGACGACGACTACGTTCGATCGTTTAAGAAAAGGATCGACGTGATTTATTTTGCCTATCACGCGATCAAGATAACGGTTATCCTGACGAGATAACGCGCCAACGAAAATACGAAGAAGAAGAAGAAGAAGAGAAACCGCGTGACCGTTCGAATACAAACACATTGACATTTGTACTCGATTATAGAAAATTTCTTCGAGAGAGACGATATTTTTCTCTTCCTTGTATTTTTCTCTTCTGAAAATTCGAATGACTCGATCATCGATATTAACAATATTAAGTGACAGTAAGAAGAAAACAAGAGAAACGATCGAAGAGATAAAATTTGAGAAGAAGAAGTCCAACACGTGTACGGACAATGCCTTTGCAAAACGTCCGTCCTAAGACGGAATGGAACTTTAAGAGGTGAACTTTCACGTGGCCTACTTCGGTAAAGTCCTTCGTGACTGGAGGGCACGCAAGGTGAGCGTCATACTTCGTTACTTGTTGCCGTAACACCCTCGCGTTAGCGGCCCCTTTTTCTGACGCGCCGATTACCTGCCACCTGAACGTTTTACTCGATATAACTTAAAGCCGCAAGTAGCACGAGTGTAATAATACTAGTACTTAACAGTTATCCAAAGTACTTATATATTATACAATGTTGTATATTCTCGAAAACGTGTTAACATTCATCATCATAGTTCGTGCTCGAATTTCAGAAAAAAATGTTAAATATCTAACACGTCGAGTATTCCGATACCAATACCGATCATCTTTTTGATAGATGATCGGATTAGATGTTACCTTTCTCTCTATCTATCTCTGTGCGATATTCACGTTGAAAGGATTGGAATTCTAGTAACGCTAAATTCGTGGAAGATCATTCGATCCTCTTCGTCGTATGACGGAATGCACGACTAAAATTCCATAGAACAACCAAGAGCGAGAGAGAGAGAGAGAAAGAGAAGCAACCGATACTACTAACGAACCAACCGTGTTTCACCCTGCTAAACTCAAGCTAAACTCGATGTAAACGAACTCTAGATCCGTTTATTCTGCTCTACCAGGCGATGATACCTATATCGGACCGGCCGTGACCGTTCGAGCGAGTCTAGCGCGATAAAAAAAAAAATAGGGGGATGATTTCTAACGGAATAGAAAACCTTATCGTCGCTTTGTTAGATCGCGACAAAATATACGATTACTTTTTGGGTCTTAGAAACCTTATCTCTTGTCTTACTTTCAATAATATTTTTTACCTTAATTTTCGCGCTTACAATGATTACTCTTTATACATCAATAAATCTATCGGGAAAGTAGTATGATCGACGATAAATCGAACGAACGAACGAACGAAATAAATCGCTTAGAATTGTTAAAAAAAGAAAAGTTCTCGATAACTTTTTCACGAATTTAACGTAAGAACGATCTTTTATTTTCGATAAAACTTACTTACTGTCGGAGAAGGGATTTCCCGTTTTATTTTATATAAAACCTCTCTCTCTTATATCATAAATTTATTCCCATAATCGATTTCGGTTGAATTCGTTAAAATAATTGATATTTATGGTAAAGAACTTTGGGAAGAGAAAATAAATTTAGTCGTGCGTTTTCTTTTAAATCATTTAACCCTGAATATATATGTACATATATAAATATATATATGTATGTATATTATGTCGGTTCTCAATGATCATCGAGTCTTTTAAACGAGTTATACATTTTATCAAACACGAAGTATCATTAGCGTCACCTCAAATCGAAAAGGACATTATTCCAAATTGAACTAAAGGGAAATTATATTTCGCGGTTAGATTCTAAGCTTATTTTTGAAGATTGATAGCAAGTTACGAATCTCTTTTAAACCCTCGCGAACCTTTCGCAATATATTCTTCAGATAATTCCCCTTTCACTTCCCTATTTTCGATTCTCCACGAGTATCTTGGAACTTTATGCGAATTCCTTCGCATTATTATTCCAGTCTGTGTCAACGATTTACTATTAGCCTTTCGGTTATTCAATAGAACTTTTCTAGCCTTGTAAATATAATGCCGGACAATATTCCTATAATAATTGAACGATGTTCTACAATCAAATGGAAGTAGTATGATTAAAGATAGAAATGTCAATTAAACGAAGAAACGTCATACTTAATAGAAGTAAGTTTCGAAACTCTAAATGACTATAAATACGACTATTTTATCGGAAAGTTTACTATCTCTCTCTCTCTCTCTCTCTATGTATATATATATATATCTCTAATTATGTTAGGTGAACTTCTTAACGATAAATTGTAGAGAAAGTACTTGCGATAGTAGTCGTAGTACAAGCCATTCAACAATTATGACCTTTCGTAAATCGAGTATCAAAGACTCGATTGCAAATAATGCAATTAGTCATCTATTATCGCGCAAATATGTCTCTCGGAGTCTAATCAACTTTTGTTAATGACGATTGATCAAATCGTATAACATTAAGATAAGTCACCTCGTCAGCTATTTTCATTCGAATTAATCAATTGCACGATCGTGTCTGGTTTATCCTTTTTTTTTTTCCTTTGATATTTCAACGATAAACGTTCAACGTCGTTTAAGAATTTTAATCGAAATAAAAGTTCCCAATTATATATTCGTAGCCCCTTTTATATCTAATTAATGATGGCTGTTTGATTAGAAAATTACGAAAAGGGAAATGTCGCCATCCCTTAACGAGATTTCAATTTCAAGGTTAAAATACGATGAGACGTATGCAAATAAAATGACAGGAATTAGGGACTCATGTTGGTCTAACACTCGGGAACTCTACGCATAACAATAATTTTAGGTCGAACACGAGCATCGAAGGATTCTCCTTTATGCGTCCTTCTGAAAGTGAGATCGATAAATATCGATTAGTTCATACTTTGTGGATACACAAACGTGCACTTGTACACTACGTCATGGTCACTTCGTTCTACGAGGGTCGAAGACTCTAAAGGACAATATATATGTACATATATATAAGTACTTTGTACGACAAAAACCTATAAATCGTTGTTACCAATTTAATAACAACGATGATACATCGTTAATATGTTATTTATTATTTTCTACGATAATAAAGTAATATATTCAAGTTTTTAATTGATCGTAAAATGCATGCTAACATTTGCAATCAACTGTAATAAATACTCATATATCGTATAGCACATAATTATTCATTTAAAATGTTAAATCGTAGTCAGGAAAATAACATATTCCAGAAGTAACTATAGTTAGAAAACGCATATAACGAATTTCATAACGTTTCACCATCATGCAGATGCACCTCGATATCCTGATATTAAAATGTCAAATGAAGTGGAGCAATATCGTTTCGCGTTCGTAGTTGAAATTTTATTTTTAAATAAAAATCCCTGACGGGGGATGTGTTCGTCAAATATTGAAACATTTTTCCCCTTCCCCCCGTACCGCGTCGATTGTATGTACCCGCTCGTTATGCCACAAGAATATATAACGAGTACTTTATAGATTGGATCAAATCATAGATACGCTAGATTGAACGAGCCGTTTCTTTAGGAATCATAACGATTGATGTGTTATTTAAATGGAAGCATAGTGATGTGGACGTTCATTGTGTAAATATTAATGCCGAATAAATAGAACATTATGTAAGTTTCTACGTGATGTAATATAATAAAAAAAAAAAGAAAAAAAGAATCAAAAAAATCAAATGATTTTAATCAGAATAATGGAACACGCGTATACGTTAATCAAAACGAATGTATCCTTTTTTTTGCTTTTCAATTCTAATTAAAATCATTTGTATTTTTTTTTTGTATTTCTCTCATTTCCAATCGACGATCGATTTTTTCTCTTATCGGTTCTCGTTTAAATAATATCTCATAAAATCACGATCGATTGTGTGTTAAACTAAAGCAGCAAAAAAATGAAAAAAATCGAGAAACTTTGCCGACGCGCTTCGTTAAGAAGTCCAAAGTAAAATAATCACGATTACTACTGGCTTATATTTGTATATCACGAGAAGGTAAAGCACATTTCGCGAGACAGCTCGATAAGGAACACGAGAGAGAAAGAAAGGTACACGCTATCGTTCGTGAAAACACGTTTAATCCAATATAAGGAAACCGTCACGAATACCATTCGATAAGCGTTTAAACACAACGAGCGTCTACAAATTTGTACAATTTATAATTCGATAACATTGTTAACGAATATCCTTTAATCGTCGCACGATTTCGAACTGTTAACTCTATCGTTAACTTTTTTTTTTTAAATTGACTAATATCTCTCGTTAAGTCGAATCGAACGTGATTTAAACTTGACGACTTGGAGAAAAAAAGAAAAAGAAAAAGAAATAAAAATATTCCGAATAGAAACTCCGATCCCCGAACGTACGTCGATCAAAATTGAAATGATTTGAAGGTTCGTTTCGTGCATCACGTCACGTCGAGAGATCCCGATCAAAAAAGTATATTCATGTGTTAACCAACCGATACGAAATCTACTCTTGTTAACCCCCTACGTTTCCCCCCCCCCAATCCCGTGTTCTCCCACGACGATAATCCTTCGTAATTATATAGCTATAGAAAGGAAAAGAAATGAAATGTCCTTCAAATCCGGTAGGAACCATTTAATCAAAGAATTCTATCATCTTCGAAGTCTTTCATTAATCTTCAATTCTATCTCTTTATCTTCTTCATGTCCTTTTTTTTAATAATTTTTCTTATATTCTCGCGATTATAAATATATTATTGCGATAGTATAATGAAATATAATTATAAAGGCTAACGTTTCATATTAATTGTTTTTTTCTTTCTTTCTTTCGATCGAAATGTATTATTATAATATAACAAATATACGCAGCAAGGGGATGATCCTATCTTGGCTACCGAACAAATTTCTGTTCGAAGCGTATCATCCGTGACAAGGATGTTCGGGGTAGGGGGAGTAGGGTGGGGAGGAGGACGAGAAGCGTCGGATTAACAATGTGCGTACATCCTCCACCTGTCGAGAAGCACGGCTATCATATTTACAATGTTCCCACTGGTCCATGAACAACACCTATAGAAATTCAATATCGACTGCAACGTCGAAATACGTGTGCATAACTCACTCAGACAGATGCAATTATAAAGCATCTTGTATAATCCCTTTTATATAGGGGGGTGGGGGAAGGGGTGGAGGGGAAGGGGACGAGGAGGATCAAACGCACAAACTGAGCATTACATCTTCAACAACTAGAATCTAACAACTTGGACTACAAACGTTGGTTAGAAGGGAGAAACGAGTATTAAAAAAATCTTCTTTTCAGATCTTGTAATTTCGAGTCCAAGTATCCTAACGATCGTTAAAAGCCGAGAAATGAAGGAAAAAAAGAAGAAGGAAAAATATAAAGAAAGATATTCTATTACATTGGTTTTACAATGTCCTCGTACCACTTTTATTCGTATTTCTTATGTTTCCAATGTTATCCAAGATAAAAAGTGGATTGCTTTGACGAAATTCGTAAATCGTTGGAAGAGATGGATGATCGAGAAAATGAATGCAATGTATAAGAGAAATTGTTTTTTCAAATAATAGGGATTAAAATAATATAATGCCATGTCTTATAAGATTCCATCTAACTATCTTAAAGCCGTTTATTCGAATAAAGTTTATTTTTAAAATAAAAATTCCTCGCTTCGAATTACGCTTTAATATTAACGATTTGGTAAGCTTTTATTTTATCCTCGTTCAGGAAAAAAAAAAAGAAGTTGATTTTGAATCGATGCGTCAAAGGAAACGATATCCGGCTCTTGTCGATACAAAGAGATGCCAAATGCCATAGACTCGTGATAATTCAAGGGTAATACGCAATTAATTAATTTTCATATCAGAACGTTATATAGACGAACATGCCAATTACTAAAATGAACAAGGATGGGTTTAATCGATTGAAATTTCAAAAGGACGACATACGTGTTTATTTGTATAATACAAGTAGATATAATAAAATATATGTATATATATATATATATATATATTCACAGTTATTCTCGTAAAAGGAAAGACGAATTGGCGAACGTAGGATCGTGATTAACGTACTCTTGCTCATGCCAACGTTAAACGGAAGAAGATAGAACCTCATTAAAGTCTCGACGGGTTAGAAACGTTCTTTTTTTTTTTTTTTTTTATTTTTTCCTAGTCGATAGGCTTATCGGAATTTTTCCATCTCCACGGAATTTATTTATGTACTATATATCGACCCCAATTTCAGGGCATCCTCTTCCATTTCCTTCAACAAGGAATATTGAGTCAGCCAAGTGGAAGCGGTAGTTTCCTTTTACTAAAAACTAAATAGAGAAAGGCGAGCTTACGTTCGTAGAACGAGTAAATTATTTGCAAATCGGTCCTAATGCCTCTTCCTTTCCCAACCACCTACTTCTTCTCCACCCGGTGTTTTTTTGTTTCTTTTTTTCTTCCATTTTCCAAGATTTTCCTTTGAGATAACGAACATCTCCGCGTATAGTCGAAACCGGAAATCTACTTTTTGTCGAATACCAATTTTTTAATTATTCCCATTTCGCGTCTTGTCTCAGATCATCGAGTATTATTAGTTAAATGTATAAAATTTAAATAACGCATCGTAATTTTGTCGATCCAACGATCCCCTCGACAAACGGACGATTAAATTTGCAATGATTTTACTCGTGATTTTTCCCGTTGTCGAGAAATACGTGCAATGTACGTTTAAACGTGTTCCTACCGAACGAAAAGTGTTTTTATTTCTCGTTAATACCAAATAAATCATAAAGTTTGCTTAATTAATATCCTCAACCACCGCAATGTTTACTAATGACAATACAATGGGAACATTTTATCGTGCCTCGAATCCACCCATCGATTTACATGCAATTTCATTCTCGTTTTTTTTTTCTCCTTTTTTTTTCAAGCATTGAACGACGAAGTCACACATACGTATAAATACATGTAACATTTGTATGCATCGATTTACACACGGACTTCTTGTTAAAATTCCAGACAAATCGATGATCGGTTCTGGACTGGTAGACGAAATCGTCTAATTCAAGAACGAATCTAATCGTTCGCATTCTGTGTCAATAATCAATCTGTGAAAACAAAGTTTGATTATTTTAACAAAAAATGAAAAACGTGAAAATTCAAATAGCCCAGTTCCCATTTTTCCCTTTCTCTCGCTTTCTCTATGTTCTCTAAACATATATATACTATTACACATATATATCATATATATATATATACTATACTATATATACTATATATCATATATATATATATATATATATGTAATAGTACTCTTTTTTATTTTTTTTTATTTTTTATTACAACGAGAGGAACTCTCTTCGTTTCATTTTCATTATCTGTCGCTTCATATGTACCATATCGGTCGTACGAATACACGATGTATGAACATTCACGTATATAGACACATATTACAAAGTCACGCTCGTGTGTTTTCGTATGAGCTGTATTATATCGGGAAACTGCCTGTACAATATTTTCTCTTGAAGAGGAAAAAAAAATATAAATCATGGGTTTCGCATTCGTATGAATGAATGCATGAAACAAATGCGATAAGATGAATAACAAAGAATGTATTTACTTCCATATAAACGTCGATAATAAATTATAACGAAATTTTTTACGATTATACTACAAGAAAATATATATTATTTTTTGTCTCTTAAATCTGAATAATCGAGAACAACTCTGGACCATAGTATGCATCATAATATTATATAATATAATTACCAAGAAAAAAAAATAAATTCACATTTAAAAAATACGCTTCAATAACTTCGAGAGAGAGAGAGAGAGAGAGAGAGAGAGAGAGAATTTATGGTCTGCCAAGTAAGAGTAGTTGAAAAAAAAAATTAAAATAAAATAAAACGATAGATTTAAACTCTCAAGCAATGATTAGCAATAATTGGATACTTCAGTCTGTTCGCATTACACATGGATTCGTAAGAAAAATCTTAGAAGACGATAAGTAAGAACAAAAGTTCATAAATATTACAATATAGGAAGAATTCAAATTGATATCTTGCATTATAAGACTTATACAACCAAGAAAATAATTATAAGAATTTGACATAAAAGAGATTTATATAGAATTCTTTAAATATATTTTCTAAAAGTATCAGTAGAGTATATCTCTTGTTTCAAAGTGAGTTCGGTCGATAGCAGAGAGGATACCTGATCATTCGTCAACGTAATTGTATGAAAATGTTCTTCTCTGTGAATCCTAGCAATGAGAAAATCTCAACGCCTGAAAGACGGCAATTTAGAAGTGACTATTGGAAAGATGATCGTGAAAAAGAGAAATCCTTCTCTACAAACGATTCACTACTTGACATTGTATAACATTCATATGCATCTACTTGGACTAGTGTATAAAACGAGAGAGAGAGAAAGAAAAAAAAATAGGAAAAAAGAAAAATCGCAAAAACGCTCGAAAAAGATATTGCCGATACGATAAGAGTCGCGTGTTGTATATTATTTCACGTGTACGTCTGTACCAAGTATACGAGTACATATATACACATCCGTACACGTATACATACATACATACATAAATACGTTCTTTCGACGAGAATTCTTCGAAACTCGTGGAGAGAAACTCGCTGGAAATGCACCGATCGATCCAAATGTTTTACACGGACTTATTGTGTCTCCGTGCGTTTCAAGTGTTATGAAAGCATGAAACAAAGTGAAAAAAGAAAAATACAAAGGAAAAGGATTAATACTTCCATCGTCTTCGTTTAATTAGTTTCAACAAATCGAAAAGGGGCTGCTTTTGTATCGATTACGGAAGGAAATTTGTTAGCGAAGTTAATATACCTATTAGACATAATTAAATTTTCCGAGCAGGAAGAATTTCAAATTGCGATTAATAGCTTGGTAATTCTCATCGTGTTGTATGTACATATTCGTTATCGCGAATTCCAAGTATTTTCCATTATCCAACCGCAAACCACATCTATTTGATAACACCTAAGACTAGTTAATTGTTCTAGACAATGGCTTTACAGAAATTTGCTTGAACTTCTAACAAAATTCATGCAAATACGATAAGATTTTCTATTTGATACGATCCAGGAAGCTCATTTCCTCATTCGTAAGTAATTCCTTTATTACGAAAATGCACGAACATGACATTTTTCACGATAATAAGGGACAAAGCTTGGAATAGAGTAAACCATTGAAATGATAAATCTTTAAAACTAGAAAACCCTTTTTTATATTCCGTATATATGTAATACATCTATCAATGTTACTTGCTCTTTTATACGTAAGATTTACTTAACGCATTCCACTCTCAACGATTATTCTCTGGAACGTCTATTTAATTCTGAACAAAATGGATCGAAAAAATAAAACGTTTCTCTTAAAAAATATGTAGAAAGTATATATAGTACGTAAACCTTTTCCATTATCTTCTACACGATTGTATTTGTTTTGCGTTACAATCGTAAAATTTAGAAAGGTTTGCTCGAACGATACGCGAGATTATTTCTTTATCATTTTTCCATTGGATCGCCCTTGGCACTGTCCTTCTCTCGTGACAAATTTTATTAGAAAAAAAAAATATTAAAAAAAAAAAAAAAACAACCCTCGAGAGTAATCAAAGTAAAAATTTCGATTGGATATATTATCGATAATAAATTTATACGAGCATCGAAAAAAAGATCATTAAATTAATTATTTCCATTTCTATTTCTCTTTGATATATTATGCTATTTCATTTTGTACAAATAATAAAAACAATTGGATTATCGATATTTGATCTTTTTCCGTTCGCAGAATGTCCAAGAGATGACTGGACATTGAAAGAAGGTGCGGTGGCTCCTGAGTTTGCTGTCACCGTGGCTTCGTTTCGACGGAATGGAGGTAAACGGGACTCAGAGTAGCCTGAACGGCACCGAGGTCAATCGTACGACAGCACCAATCTTCACTATTGGCACCGACTTTATTACCCGGTGGTGAGTTACCAACCTGGTATCAAACAACGGGACAATTATTTTCTTTCTTTTATCTCAGATTTACAAATTACCATTATTCTTTGCATTGGTTATTTTGATTTCTTAATATTACCACCGAAGATTATGAATTAAACATTCGAAAAAAAAGAAAAGAAAAAAGAAGTAAAAAAAAAAAAAAAACCAACAAGTCGCGCTAAGGAACGATAACGAGAAATATTTATGGCAGGTTTCTATCGCTAACGGAAATACGTTCTCTCTCATGCATATTATTTTCTATTCTCCATGCAACACTTTTTCCCACGATGCGGAATACGTATCTCACCTACATTGCTATCCAATGGTTTTTCGTCGAAGGACAAGTCGGGAAATCGTGTCACCAGAAACAGTGACTCTCAACCCGATATTCATCGTTGTTTGTTTTTTCATTATAACATGAAAGAGGATAGTACACGAATACGGAGTTTAAAATCGTGCATTAAACTTTTTCACGAAAGAATCGGACTGAAAATTTATTACTATTACTATTATTATTATTATGTAAATTCATTCATGATCTCTTTATTTAAACGTAATACCTCTCCAAATAATATATTTTTATTTTATATATATACCTACCGTGAAAAGTTTCAAACGACATTATCGATGCACAAAGTTTCGTGTCCTTGACTTACAAATGTAACTCTAATTGTCTCACACATCATTTTTATCTTCTCAATAATAGTCAATTAGGATTATTCGATTTGACTAACGAAATTCAACGACTCAAGGATTCAGATATTTCGTTCGATACATAAACACACACACACACACATATATATGCGACAGGTTGTTATAATGATCGATGAAGAAAACGGAAACATTCGTGTCCCGTAATAATTCAAGCAAACGACCGTTCACAAATAATCATCGTAAATAATCGTATCGACGTTTAAAAGAGATTTAAAAAAAAAAAAAAAACACGTTGCGAAAATGCTTTTCTTCTAATTTCGTAACGTCGAGCTCGAGTCCGAAACAAAAAAAGAAAAGAAAAGAAAACACCTGAGAAAGTAAGCGAACGGCAAATTCATCGTGCTAACGATTATCGTTTCAAACGATCGATTTTTCGCTTTTGGATTTTACGCCTTTTAAGCTTTTATGTGGGCAAACGTTCAACACCTGGAATACTCATTATCGTGGAGCAATAACATCGCCACGATTCGTTCTATTAACGCGCCATTACCGTGCATCTATGCATTCAGTATTTGTAGGACATATGTACACACACACACACACACATATATATATATATATATATATATATATATATATATATATACATATATATATATACCAATGCTGGAGGAAATGAACTTTCATAGACGGAAGGGAAAAAAGAAAAAGCTCTCTCTCTTTCTCTCTCTCTCTCTCTCTCTTTCTATTTCTCTCTCTACCTTGTGTCGTAGTTTCCTTTCGGCCGGTAGCATTGTCCTTCGAAGGCTATAAATAAGAATCGATCGTGCAAGAGCTGTCTCGATAAGGGAAAATTCATTTGTGGTACCGAATGAAATTCGGCCGATTATCGAGAGATTTGAACTAACAACTCTGCTGTTGTTACCCCCCATCGTGATTTCAAAGATTCTCTTTAATGAGAAAAGAATGAACGAAGTTAAGTCATTGATATCCTTGAACGATCCGTTAAATGAATTGGAGATAAATGAGAGATACGTAATATACGATTTGAATAAGTTATCTTACACCGTGCTCTCTCTCTCGAAAAAAAAAAAAAATGTCATAAATTATTCTCTACAATATAGGCACATTACACGCGCATAACTTTCAAATAATGGACACTCTGGTCCCCCTTCTTTGCGAACAGCTGTTGCACGGAATTTTTCGATAATGCACGCTCGCATTTACTTTCACGGATAATTTGCTATTTAAAGGAATCTACTTTAAAATGACATATCAGTGATGAAAATGTAGGATGTAAATTGTAAACGGTAGATCAATACCTTCCTAAAAGATTGAAAGAGAGAGAGAGAGAGAAAGGGCTAAGTCGGTCTCGTCGTCCTAAAAACAGTGGTACACATTTTTAAAAAGGTTCGACTATCGTGATTTATGGTTTACATCGATCTTTTTCAATCGTGCCGACCGCAACCCATTATCACGTGGTACGGTAGTTGAATTCTGTTGTATTCTCAATGTGCGCGGGAATGCAAATTCCCTTATCTACGGACAACGGAGAACTTTCTTTTTATCGATTTGCCTTGGGTGCAATTAATCCGTATGTATCAAGGAGGAACATCGCTGCAACAAAACGAAACTCGTATAGACTAATCTCGACGAAACAGAATCCTTGACCTACCACCAGCAATATCGGTAGTAGTTGCTACTACAAGTCGAAAATTTTGCAATGCTCACTCACTATACCCACGATATACGTGAGGAGTATGTAACTTTCGTTCGGCGTGTGTTACACGTTTTAGTGGCTTAGGCACGGTTACGATTTAGGTACACGGGGCCTATGTCATTTAACAAAATAGAAAACGAATTTCATGCGAGCTACCGGAATCACGCGAACTTAGCAAAATCGTTACGGTATGATGTTCTCTAACACGCGATCGAGACGAACATTTCGAAACGTTTGCGTATTTTTTACGACACGTGGCCACGTCATTTATCGATTTTTTTGTTCAATCGAATTCCAAATCTGCATATTTTCTTTACTTTATCTCATAATTATTGTACGCATGTGTGTATGTTTACAAATCGCATATTATTATTTCTGCAGAATCATCAACGTTAATATTGGGATTATTACCATTGCACAGTTACTACTACTCTTTGCATAATTAATTTTTCCTCTCTTTTTTTCGTTCTTTCTTTCTTTTTTTTTTTTTTTTATATGTTGTCTCGTTTTGTCCATCCTCCATACGAAAAGTATGAAGCATAATAATAAAAAGCTTTGCCCGTTGAAAAGCCATTATGCCAAGGGAACAAAACAACAGCATTCATTATTTCGTGATATTAAAAATTAATGTGGATGTCGAGTACATTAAACAAATTCATCATAATATATTTGCTTATTTGATCGACAGAATTTCACATTATTTTCTTTAACGGGATTTCGTAATTTTATTTTTAATTCTTTATTTAAAGTCAAGAAAAAATCGGATAAGTCATAAATATTATAATACTCTTATTTTATTTCTTATTATTAATTCAAAATACGAATAATCAATTGAAAATGGAAATTTGAATGCACCCGAAACATAGTTGTCTTCTCATCATTCGAACTCGTGTTGGGTATTAACGTTAAACTTCGAAACAATGGCCTTCAAATGTCACTAATGCCAACTAATCGCTGGCATTTGTAGTACGTGTTCCAGAGTGTGCTTAACTTCGTGATGATAGCAATACACTAGGATCATTTCAATCGTTCTTTACACGTCACAAAACACGCATAGGCATAGTAAAGAAAATTGAAAATAATTTTCAAATAGAAGAAAGTAAGACAAGTTAAAATAATGTGAACGAAGAAGTATAGAAAAGAAAAAATAACGTAATCATTTTAGTAAATGTATTATTAAACACACGTATATTGGGTATGACACCACGACATACATATCGATTTTCGAATTTTCAGTTTCCGTGAAGAGGAATCGAGGAGGAAAAATGTGTTATCTATGTGCCAAAGTAGAGCGCATCGCTTTCAAATCGCGTGTTCCTATGCCTCGAAACGGAAATGCATACACTAGGTCCGCCCGCATTCGGAATACTACTCTCTATGTCGATGTGCATAGAATTTCTGGGAATATTTAATTTACCATCGAGAATATGGAGAAAAATTCGAATATTTTTTTAAAAAACTGCAAAAGAACGAACAGTTCTCATCGTGGAATCAATGCACACATACAATGATAGAATATTCTCAATATAGAACAAGATATAACATAGCATCTTAGTATTCGAAATAGTTTTCAAATTCTATTTATATTTTTCAATATACTAATCTATCTATCGAGTTTTTCGCGATAACTTTAAATTCGAATTTATTAGAACATATCGATTATTATATATGTGTTATTAGAGATTCATTTGTTGTGTACAGATATATAATACATTTGTAATTAACTGCATCACTATCAGAAATTAGTAACGATACGTTGCTTTTCGTGTTCTGACCTAACAGTTGGCGCAGTTGGGCTAAAGTTTCGAGATATCGAGTAGTATCGTAATTATGCACAATTATCTACAGAGAATAGCAGCGTTAATTACTTCATAGTTTTCGGGAATGCAAACAGCAAACTGAGAAACATTACACACAACACAGTGAGTTCAATTTATTCAACTACAGGATGTTTATTCATAGAAAAGGAAATACCATGTTTTGCTGTAAATTTGAATAAACTATTTGATTTTTCCAAAATTGGGCAAAGACGTTTTTCAAATATTAAGAAAGGTAACACTCGTGTATCCTGCGGATTTTCTTCTTTGAAGAAAACTTTGACTTAAAAGTTACATTCCCATATTCAATAAACTTAAGAAATTATACATCGTCTTTAGGTCAACGAGTTTTCAAAGAAGATAGAGTCTGCTGAGTAGGACAAATTTTATTATGCGCTTTTATGTATGCTTAGACATAGGTACACACCCTACGTATACGAATTCATTCTGTGGTGTGGATAAATACGCTGATGTTGCTGAACTAACATTCCAAAAAATTTACGATATTCCCAAGTCAAATTTTCTATTTCTTTTCTTGCGGAGAGAACCGAATTTTCGCATTATTACGGTTCATAAGAAACTGTAAAAAATAATGAGAATATACCTGTAAGAAGAGATTCGAAGGAAAATGAAGAGGGAAATAAAACGTATAAAATATTTCAAAGAAATAGGATTTTCGTGAACTTGATGAAATAATAAAAGAACTGACTACGAGGATTATTGCAGAACATTCCAAACGCCGATTACTTTGGGCTTATAACGTTTAATATTACGAGGCTTACTGTAAGTATTCA